TAGGCCAGTGACACAAAATCTCATTTTAAATTCAGGCTGTAACACAACAAAATGTGGAAAAAGTCTAGGGGTGTGAATACTTTCTGAAGGCACGTACGTACTGTACATACGGTCACTGTGGGGACGATGCACGATGCACTCGACGATGCACTTATTAATGAAGCCCGTGACTGATGTGGTAAATTCCTCAATGCCATCGGATGAATCCCGAAACATATTTCAGTCTGTGCTAGCGAAACAGTCCTGTAGCTTAGCATCCGCTTCATAGCACCACATCCGCATTGAGCGCGTCACCGGTACTTCCTGTTTGAGTTTTTTTTCTTGTGAGCAGGAATCAGGAGGGTCATTCGGGACATTTGGGACGCAGTCTTCATGTTGTTTTAGTTTGGCGTTCCATCTCATCTGTTGAGTATGCTGCAGCTATCGGCCATGCATTATGCAACTATGCTACACAATCAACTAAAGTGTAAAGGTTTGGGGAGAACGTGTGACTGAACAAAAAATTAATCCTTTTGAGATTAATTAAATCTGTTTTTTTGGTTCATCCGGATTATTGCTAGCTAATCTAGTTGGCATTCTGTCATTACCACCAGTTCTGCTCTCACCACAAATGAACTGTATTTTGGATACATACCAGAAGTTGCCCAATTTGTATAACAAGGTACAATAATGTTATTGTTGTCCTGTTAAACATTTGCCCTATAATGCTCGGATAATGTGGATAATGCTATAAAGAAAATTCTAACACAATGTAATGCCAAAAAACAGCAAGGACCAGGTGGTTGACTTTATGTATTAAAAGATAGTCATGCTTGATGTTTTTTCCACAGAATGATTGGTTGCATCAATCTGTCAACGTACAACATCCTGTAACGCTGGTGTGGAGTCAGCACATTCTTACAGTACTGTGAACACTTCCTTTTCATTGGTCTACAGGTTTCTCTGAACCTGCCAAACTGTAACATTCAGGTGAGTTAAGAGAAAGCTGACCCCCCCCCCCCCCCCCCCCCCCCCCCCCCCCCCCCCCCCCCGAGGAAGGCTCTTGTCTATTTGCAGCCTGTGTCTCAAACGGCACCCTGTTCCCCTTTATAGCGAACCGCTCGTCAAAAGTAGTGCACTATATAGGGAATAGGTTGCCATTTGTGACGCAACCCTGCTGACTGGATGAAGTGGCTCTGACATGCCACACAGGGCTACTGTGACAAGCGGCTGTGACAGGGATATAGAGCTATAGCAATAGTTTATTTCAGGACTGGAGACTCAGACGACACAGTGACAGGCGCTAGGCCGTTACGCCACCGTGTTGATGTCTGTCTGCTTTACTTAGCCTTACCCCACCTGGCACCAGGACACATTATTGTGAGTAGGGAAGAAACCCGTCCAAACTGAGAAACACAATATTGCCAACTACTGCCATGGAGTAGATGTACTGTATCTTACGTAAGGTAAAACATTTATGCACAATACACCAAACATTATTATTAGGTTTAATCTAGCTCAGTTCTTCGCCTGAATTTAGCCATTTATAGGGTGAACTTGTGTAACACATTGTAAGACTAAGTACCTTGAATTAATCCCTTTTGTTCTTTGGGGTTGCGTTGGTCATTCACAAACTTCCTCCATGGGTGGTCTTCTCCATTTCCTTCAAGGATGATCATGCTTCTCCACACTAAGACCATTAGAGAACAATTCTCCACACTAACTCTACAGAGAATACTTCTCCACACTAACTACCTACAGATAATATTTTTCCACACTATGTATCTACGGAGAATACTTCTCCACACTAAGTACCTACAGAGAATAATTCTCCACACTAACTATCTACAGATAATACTTCTCCACACTAACTACCTACAGATAATATTTTTCCACACTATGTATCTACGGAGAATACTTCTCCACACTAAGTACCTACAGAGAATACTTCTTCACAGAAAGACGCTGCCTTCAGAAAGTATTCATATCCCTTGACTTATTTTACATTTTTGTTGTGTTACAGCCTGAATTAATAATGGATTGCCAATAACATTTGCCTATTATTATTTTCAAAATGTGTCAAGCTCTGTCAAATTGGTTGTTGATCATTGCTAGACAACCATTTTCAGGTCTTGCCAAAGATCTTCAAGTAGATTTAAGTCAAAACTGTAACTCAGCCACTGTCTTCTTAATAAGCAACTCCAAGGTAGATTTGGCCTTGTGTTTTAGGTTATTATCCTGCTGAAAGGTGAATTCCTCTCCCAGTGTCTGGTGGAAAGCAGACTGAACCAGGTTTTCCTCTAGGATTTTGCCTGTGCTTAGCTCCATTCCGTTTCTTTTTTATCCTGAAAAACTCTCCTGTCCTTAAATATTACAAGCATACTCATAACATGATGCAGCCACCACTATGCTTGAAAAAATGGAGTGTGGTACTGTGGTAATGTGTTGTATTTGATTTGCCCCAAACATAACACTTTGTATTCGGGACAAAAGGTGAATTGCTTTGCCACATTTTTATGCAGTATTACTCTAGTGCCTTGTTGCAAACAGGATGCATGCTTTGTAATATTTATAGTCTGTACAAGCTTCCTTCGATTCACTCTGTAATTAAGGTTAGTATTGTGGATTAACTACAATCCTCAGTTTTCTCCTATCACTGTTTTAAAGTCACCATTGGCCTCATGGTGAAATCCCTGAGCGGTTTCCTTCCTCTCCGGCAACTGAGTTAGGAAGGACGCCTTTATCTTTGTAGTTTCTGGGTGTATTGATACACCTTCCAAAGTGTAATTAACAACTTCACCATGCTTCAAGGGATATTCAATGTCTGCTTTTTTCCATTTTTACCCATCTACCAATAGGTGCCCTTCTTTGCGAGGCATTGGAAAGGTCCCTCATTTGAGAAGTGAATTTCAAACACAGATTCAACCACAAAGAATGCGGTTGAATCTGTGTTTGAAATTCACTGCTCAACAGAGGGACCTTACAGATAATTGTATGTGTGGGGTACAGAGATGAGGTAGTCATTCAAAAATCATGTTAAACACTATTAATGAACACAGAGTGAGTTCATGCAACTTATTATGTGACTTTGTAAAGCACATTTCTACCCCTGAACTTATTTAGGCTTGCCATCACAAAGGGGTTGAATACTTATTGAGTCAAGACATTTCCATTTTTCATTTGTAATTAAAAGAGAAAAAAAAATTAAAAATAAACATCATTCCACTTTGACATTATGGGGTATTTTGTAGGCCAGTGACAAAAAAATCTACATTTAATCCATTTTAAATTCAGGCTGTAACACAACAAAACGTGGAAAAAGTCAAGGGGTGTTTTATGGGTGTGTCCCAAATGGAACCCTGTTCCCTATGTAGTGCACTACTTTTGACCAGGGTCCATGGGGAATAGGGTGCAATTTGAGACACACCCATAAAACTCCACAGGAACCAAAAGTGACCCAACTAGACAACAACCACCATATCATGAAATGGCTTGCCTAAGTCTGAACTGGGTTCAAATAATATTTCAAATCATGTCAAATACTAATTAGCCTTGCTTGATTGAGCTTGCCTGGCACAATGGAACCAATAAAATAGCAGCAAAAAAGTAAACCCCGCCTATCTGGCACTCCGGGCAGGCTAAAGTAAACGCTTAAGGTACTTTAAAGATTTCAAATAGTATTTGAACCCAGGTCTGGTAGGTATAACTATTTTTGAAGTCTAAAGATGAGGTCATATCGTTTACAGCTGTACAGTAAAGCAGCATGTTGAGCATCACACCTTTTCCATGGACAGTCGAGTCAGATTGAAGAGCAGCACATGACAGCATACCTCGCTGCGTTTATTACAGTGTTAGAGGAATACATCAGGGAGAGTTCTACAAGTAGAGCTATTGGATATAAAATCAGTTTTACATGAACATGACTTCACTAAAATTCAGTCTCGTCCACTTTAAGTTGATCACACTGGTTTTACTACCTTAAAAATCACTCAACGTGAACATGGCATTGAGAGCACTGTGGTATTTGTATTAAAACATAGGTCAATGAGTGTCTAGTCAATCATGTCTAGCCAATCATGTCTAGTAAATCATGATACATCATTCAACCTAAGAACAGGTGCCTCTCCCCAAAGTCTATTTGAATGGACAGTCACCATATCGCTATTGACAAGCTACATTGGCATATGGTATCCCAAGCCATCAAAATAAACCATTAAGATTTACTTTACAACCTTGTACAGATAGCATTCTTCCAATGTGAAACCTACTGCAATAAGAGTGCATGATGATGATGATGATGATGTTGTTGTTTGAATTTGGCCTGTAGCAAAGAATTAGAATGGTCGAATGGAACATTCTAATTCTATGGCCTGTACGGTACTGTAACCATAGAATTAGAATGAGTAGAATGGAACATGGAACATCCTAATTCTATGGCCTGTACGGTACTGTAACCATAGAATTAGAATGAGTAGAATGGAACATGGAACATCCTAATTCTATGGCCTGTACGGTACTGTAACCATAGAATTAGAATGAGTAGAATGGAACATGGAACATCCTAATTCTATGGCCTGTACGGTACTGTAACCATAGAATTAGAATGAGTAGAATGGAACATGGAACATTCTAATTCTATGGCCTGTACGGTACTGTAACCATAGAATTAGAATGAGTAGAATGGAACATGGAACATCCTAATTCTATGGCCTGTACGGTACTGTAACCATAGAATTAGAATGAGTAGAATGGAACATGGAACATCGTAATTCTATGGCCTGTACGGTACTGTAACCATAGAATTAGAATGAGTAGAATGGAACATGGAACATTCTAATTATATGGCCTGTACGGTACTGTAACCATAGAATTAGAATGAGTAGAATGGAACATGGAACATTCTAATTATATGGCCTGTACGGTACTGTAACCATAGAATTAGAATGAGTAGAATGGAACATGGAACATTCTAATTCTATGGCCTGTACGGTACTGTAACCATAGAATTAGAATGAGTAGAATAGGCATAGAAACTCTGACCATTCTAATTCTATGACTGTAACTAAGGAGAACTTCCTTTATCTTCCTTTTAACTTCACAACGACGGGCTCTGTAAACTTCTGGCCAGTCAGGAACTGCCATACCCCTCCTCTGTAGAACTCGTTCCCAAAGGAATAGAGCCACGCATTGAAAATAGGGTTCATTTTCGCCAAAACTGGAAGCAACTACGAAATGAATAAACATGTACTTGTTAAAAGGATTTAAATCAAGCCTCCCCATTCACGTTTCATTTAACTAAAGCATTATCAAGCACAGGAAGAGACGGGGAAGAGAAAAAAGAATAGAGAAGAAGAAGAAGAAGAAGAAGAAGAAGAAGAAGAAGAAGAAGAAGAAGAAGAAGAAGAAGAAGAAGAAGAAGAAGAAGAAGAAGAAGAAGAAGAAGAAGAAGAAGAAGAAGAAGAAGAAGAAGAAGAAGAAGAAGAAGAACTCACCATTCTCAGCTTTGGAGAGACCAGTTTGGTGTTTGCGAAGCAGGCGTAGATACACATGATTTCATAGGGTCCCCAGCAGAACAACAGAACTCTCAGTGGTACACTGGTGTTCCACTGGAAAACAGGGACAGTCAATAAAGTTGTATTGAATTGAATGAAATGTGACTTTTGAGTTACACTATGACAACAATAACATAGAGTCAACATGTCAGCATAATATAATGTATAAAAGAGTAGAACATAAATGACTTTTATGTTCCCATAGTCCTTCTAGACTTCTTACTTACCTAAATAAATGCAAAGTGAAAACATTACAGCAACCATTGTCTACAGGATTATCTTGCTCAAAGGTCTTGTAATCTGAAGTTCATGGAACAACTTTCCCAATGTTCATTTACTAGGATTTAACACGATTATCAATTTGTAATATAATGAGAAGTACATTTTTCCGGCCAAAGATTAATGGTATTGTGAAAATGAGTTGTAATGCTCCAAAGAACATGTTCCAAATGTTCTACCGGCAGAATGTTAAAAGGTTTACCCTGTGCTTGTGGATCTTCTTGAAGTATGCGTGAATGGCGTCGTAGTTGGACTTCATGACATAAGCAGGGAAGATAAGGTAGAAGACAGTCAGTGCCCCCATATAGGTCATGTAGTCCCTGTTGGATGGAGATGAACATGGACAATAGAATGACATAAGACATATACTGTATTATACTGTGCATCTCTATGAATGGGGCATCCTCACTCATCTAGGGTTGATCAATTCTGGTCATTTTCCCCCCAAAAAAATCCACAGACTAGGGTTGCAAAATTACGGCAACTAAATTCCCAGGTTTTCCAGAAATCCCGGTTGGAGGATTCCCGGATTCAGGAAATCCGGAATCGTCCAGGATATCTGGATAACCTGGGAATTGTGTTACCAGAATTTTGCAAACCTAGTCTGTGGGAGACATTGCTAGAGAGCTTTGATTTATTGTCTGAAATGAATAATCCAATCCATTAGAGGTTTCTAGCAGTCCTCTATCTGTGTGTGAAATGCTGCATGTTTTCAACTGGGTTAAACAGCTTACCTTCGTGGTAATCTGCTTGATTGTTTTAAAGCCCTGATTCTGTATTCCATTGTTTACATTTTACAAATCCAAACAGTGATGTCAACAGCTGGTTTAAACAGGGTTTTTATGAGTTTTGGAAGTCTACTTTTTTCAAAACTGTATTTTTAAAGTCTTGTGAAACATCAACAAATGTGCAGACGTAACAGTGTGTGAGGGAGTTGTTGAGCTACAATGAAATGACCTTTAGGTCTGGAATTCCCTGCACCACAGACAAGAGAGAACATGATGGTGGAATTCCCTGCACCACAGATGAGAGAGAACATGATGGTGGAATTCCCTACACCACAGATGAGAGAGAACATGATGGTGGAATTCCCTGCACCATAGATGAGAGAGAACATGATGGTGGAATTCCCTACACCACAGATGAGAGAGAACATGATGGTGGAATTCCCTACACCACAGATGAGAGAGAACATGATGGTGGAATTCCCTACACCACAGATGAGAGAGAACATGATGGTGGAATTCCCTACACCACAGATGAGAGAGAACATGATGGTGGAATTCCCTACACCACAGATGAGAGAGAACATGATGGTGGAATTCCCTACACCACAGATGAGAGAGAACATGATGGTGGAATTCCCTACACCACAGATGAGAGAGAACATGATGGTGGAATTCCCTACACCACAGATGAGAGAGAACATGATGGTGGAATTCCCTACACCACAGATGAGAGAGAACATGATGGTGGAATTCCCTGCACCACAGATGAGAGAGAACATGATGGTGGAATTCCCTGAACCACAGATGAGAGAGAACATGATGGTGTGTGCATGTATCATTTCTGACTAAGTCGCTCTGGATAAGAGTGTCTGCTAAATGACCAAAATGTAATTGTGAATTTAAAGTGGAAATGACAGCATTTTAGCAACATAAAATCTTATTCAAATCTGTTCATATACACCCCCAGGAAGAACATGACATTTTGTAAATAAAAACATTCTGAAAAGCGAGCACTTAGATATGGTAACTTTCACATTTTCATAAATTCTTAGAATGTTTGGCAATTACGTATACTAACGCATGTGAAAATCCTATAGCAATATAGAGTGGGAAAGCGGCCATGCGTTTGGACAATTAATAGACACTGCAGTAAATAAAACCATCTGTCTAATCGAGGACCAGATTCTATGCGGACCGGTGCACCATAGCCAATCAGAGCTACAGTAGGCCTTTATGCAAACAAGCCATTTGCCACATGGGCCATCATTCACTTTGAACCGGATGGTGTGTTTACAGACAGCAGCAACAGCGCGACTTTAGATCATTAGAACACATTCGCCAAAAGCCACAAAATACACCTGAATGGATTTCTGCAAATATGTCAATACCACGGGAGTCCTCTTACATTTGGGAACTTTACAGTCTTATTGATCAAACAACCATGAACAGGTACGCTCTCTCTCCCTCAGTTATGCGTATCAACAAGAACAACAACTAATGCTAGCCAGAGCAAGATGAGCTAAAATTTAACACAGGAACATTAGATAAACCCTCTCAAACTGTTTCAACTAGTTGGCCATCAAAATTGCACTGATAAACGATGGGGAATTGTAGCCTACTTGTCCTTCTGCAGCTTGTCCCAACCAAGGACCCAAGCTAACTGGCTAAAGTTGGCTAGCTTGCTAGCTAGCTACTTCCAGACACAAATGAGAGAACAACTCACTCTGACCATTTTACTCGCCGTAGCAGAGCTTGTTAGTTAGGCTGTTTACATGTTATCTAGAGCGTTCATGATTAAATATTAAATTTCTTGCCTACATTTACTGACACCGGTCATATTGCAGCGGGTGTTGCGCATTCGTAAATTCATCAGTTGTTCTGCACTCTGGCACACTCAGACGAGAGCGCTCTGAAATCGGAGTAGATAGCGTAGAGTGAATTTGCGAACTCAAGAGATATGCTAACTGGATAACTGTCGTTCAAGTTCTTGCTAGCTAACCAAATGACACCTGCATCTCTAGCTGTGTATAGCCGCCAAAACACGATATGAGGGGTAAAAGTCAGTCACTCACCCACCCCTCCAATGACATGACATGACATCCTCCTAGCAGCTAGCTAGCTAACATAAGGCTCTGTGTTTTTAGCTAGATACATAAATAGATACGCTAGCCTATTAGCCACGTTATGACTGATTTGTGATCATAGCCCTTTGCTAGTTTGATTGTATTGACATTCTCAGCGTTACATGGTGCGTTTTGGGCCCAAAATATTTAGTAATGGAAACTGAAACAGTGCATCGCGAATAGAGGCAGCAAACAATGTACCAGGCCAGCTGTGATTTACAACCTGATAGCAACATCTTTTGGACTACCAAGAAACGTATTGGTGAATTATATTAATCATGCATTGAACTGCATCCAACAACGCCTTAGTGTACGTCATGGAATGTTGAGTCAAATATAATTTTATTTTTATTTTTTAAACCTCCTATAAAGTTGGTTTTGTAGCGTAAACTGGGAATTGTATGTTTTTGACTGATATTATGATTGTCTGTTTGTTTTTCGTATCTGCAAAGTAGTTAGAACGCAGTCAGTTCCACTTTTTAAATGTAGCCTACTTGTCTCCTTTGGTGTAGTCTAGAGTGCAGCAGGTCCTCATGGGCTCAAAGTCATAAACTCCCCAACCAGTCAGTGGGACGGCCGCCCAGAAGATGGCCATCCCCCAGATAACGATAGAAAAAGTCCAGGCCGTGCTCCAAAACAGCTTCTGATCTGGAACAAAATAAAGTTGTCGTGTTTATTGTAATTTGCAAGAATATGTTTGTAGCTTTGTAGATGTATATAGTACATCGATAAATAAAGCATATAATAAATGCTATGAATACATACTGTACAGTAGGATACTACTCACTGGTGACATATTGGTGATATCTGTCCCAGGCGATGGTAGCCAGGAAGCTGACAGAGGCCAGGACTGCTGTCATTCCCATGAAGGCGTGGTTGCTACATCCGTCTTGGCCCCAGGGCCAGTGTCTATGGTGACAAGAAAGGAGCACATTTAGGCTGCGTTTACACAGGCAGCCCAATTCTGATCTTTTGCCCGATTGTTGGCAAAAGATCTGATCTGATTGGTCAAAAGGCCAATTTTTGGCAAAAGATCTGATCTGATTGGTCAAAAGGCCAATTATTGGCAAAAGATCATAATTGGGCTGCCTGTGTAAACGTAGCCTTAGTGTATCTATTCCCATCAGGCAAAAACCAGTTTCAAAATGGCTACATTCTTACATTAACACCGGGTGACTCATTTTTGTTAAACCAAATACACCTGCTTTGGTTCGTGGTTCAGTTGAACTATGAAGTCATGACCACACACCCTAACGAGTGTTCACCATTCCAGCTGTGTGTAGTACAGATTCTATCCATTATAAAGCTATTCAGATATACATGAAAAATGTGCCTCTCTAGAATGATTTGTCCTGACATCCTGTCTGTAAACCAATTTTAGATCAATGCATAAGAGCGTGTTAACAACCAACTAGTGTACACATACGTTTGGCAACCTCCACAGGCATTAACGCAGTGTCAAAGGATAAGAATTCATACCTATAAGATAAGCTGGCGAATGCAGCGATCAGGCCAGTTGTATTGAGCATAATGTCAGCCACAGCAAGGTTAAAGACAAGGAAATTACTGGGAGTTCGCATTTCCTTTACACTAATATAGGCCAATATTGAAATGGCGTTGAGGAAGAATCCAAGAAGACCTAAAACACACACACGAAATAAATAAATAAATCATAATGGGAAACATCTTGCGATAGATTCCATGACATACAGACTAAATGGACATTTAACATTTCAGTTAAATTATATAGCCTATTGGTGAATAGGCTAATCAGTTATGTCAGAAATCGTTGAATGTTAACCTCACATACTTTTATTTCATTATTTCACATTTCACATCTTCAAATCCTTGCATATTATTCACATCTCCCAGTGACATCTTTGCATGATTTGAAGTTGCTGTCATCACTTCAAGAATCTTCAAAGCAATTCTCGGGCAATTCTTTTTTTTTTTTTTAGTGACTTTAAAATCACTAGACCTAAGATCCCTTTAAAATCTCACATTCTGGCAGCCAATTCTCAAGCGCAAATAAATAACAGCTTTTCTTTCAAAATTTTGCCATTCAATATTTCACTTACCCCCAACAAGAAGAGCTGAACCGAATGCAAACATGTCAAAATCGGAGAATCCCTCCGGTAACGTGTATGCTGCCATTTCCGATGGCCACTATGATTATCGGACACTACAGAGAATTCCTCAACGTTTATTCTCGCGCCTAAAAGTGCCAGAGTTTTGACTGAACTCCTTATAAAGGCTATTTCACGTGAAAAGGCATGCAAGGACTTATCTCATGTAAAACCCTCACTGATCCCTACAAGAATGTACTAAAAGGTGGCGCAATAGCAGAAGAGTCCGCTACACATTAGGTAACGGCTCTTTAAAATTTTCCCGAAGTTTTTTTTTTTTGTGCCCCCAAACGTTGGGTTCATTGAAGTGGCTTCTGCGCACCGACTGTGCATGCGCAGATCACTCATGGGATTTATTAAAACAACTACTACTAGGCTACTACTGCTGATCAGTGGTACCATAGTTTATATTATCACTGAACACTAAACCCACAGGTCATACTTTATCCTCGGTATACTTAGTAGGCTAAACATGATATGGCACATGATGATGAAGTATCTCTCTCTCTTATTTCGATAGGTCTACCTCCTGCTTCATCCATCCATGACATCATAAACATCGGCCGACAGTAACTGTTAAGTGTCAGCTGGAAGCTGATAATGCATATTGAATGGACTGAGAGAGACCCTTGTCCAGTGCATTATTAGTTTCACAATTTTCACAATGCAACAAGTTTTAAATGTAGCAATCCTTTAATCTGGCTAAACTTAGTGGTTGAAATCAAACCTTACTTCCAAGAACGTAGCATTGTTAGTGATGTCCCTAAGTCACCTGCACACAGGATCTTGATTATAATTTTGTTGTGATTAACATTTTATATATATTTTTCACACAACACAGAAATTAACACAAAAAATATGAACAGACACAACAATCACAGTCAACACCACACAAAGCTCTAGCCCATGATGAATCACAGTCAACACCATAATGTCATACAGGGAGCTCCAGCCCATGATGAATCACAGTCAACACCATAATGTCATACAGGGAGCTCTAGCCCATGATGAATCACAGTCAACACCATAATGTCATACAGGGAGCTCCAGCCCATGATGAATCACAGTCAACACCATAATGTCATACAGGGAGCTCCAGCCCATGATGAATCACAGTCAACACCATAATGTCATACAGGGAGCTCCAGCCCATGATGAATCACAGTCAACACCATAATGTCATACAGGGAGCTCCAGCCCATGATGAATCACAGTCAACACCATAATGTCATACAGGGAGCTCCAGCCCATGATGAATCACAGTCAACACCACAATGTCACACAGGGAGCTCCAGCCCATGATGAATCACAGTCAACACCATAATGTCATACAGGGAGCTCCAGCCCATGATGAATCACAGTCAACACCATAATGTCATACAGGGAGCTCTAGCCCATGATGAATCACAGTCAACACCATAATGTCATACAGGGAGCTCTAGCCCATGATGAATCACAGTCAACACCATAATGTCATACAGGGAGCTCTAGCCCATGATGAATCACAGTCAACACCATAATGTCATACAGGGAGCTCTAGCCCATGATGAATCACAGTCAACACCATAATGTCATACAGGGAGCTCCAGCCCATGATGAATCACAGTCAACACCATAATGTCATACAGGGAGCTCCAGCCCATGATGAATCACAGTCAACACCATAATGTCACACAGGGAGCTCTAGCCCATGATGAATCACAGTCAACACCATAATGTCATACAGGGAGCTCCAGCCCATGATAAATCAAAAAGAAAGAAACCAGTGGAATGTATACATGTCACTGTGAGCAGGTCAAGCCTCCCACCCTTTGAATATACTGTACACTAGTTTAAATGTCTACTTCAGTGCCAAGTATATCCAGATCATTTACATTTACATTTAAGTCATTTAGCAGACACTCTTATCCAGAGCGACTTACAGTTAGTGAGTGCATTCATTTTTCAAGATCAAAATGGAGAGTGGCTTACTGATATCTCTCTGTCATTTTGTGAATTACAATTCAATATCGATATCTATCGGTCAACGCATTAGATGTCATTATGATTAGGCACTTTTAGCTGGTATGTGATACATTAGCTCAGGTTCATTCTCAATCCATAGATCCCAAAGCCTTGGATAGCCTAGAGATCATCCCAAGCAGGGCCGGCTCTAGCCTTTTGGGGTCCTAAGACAGATTTCTTAAAATATATATTTTTGGGGGGGTCGGGGGCCCCCTAGCTAAGGGGCCTTTTCATAACAACATTCAGGGACGGCAGGTAGCCTAGCGGTCAAGAGCGTTGGGCCAGTACCCAAAAGGTCGCCGGTTCAAATCCCCAAGGTGAATAATCTGCCGATGTACCCTTGAGCAAGGCACTTAACCCTAATTGCTCCTGTAAGTTTCTCTGGATAAAAGAATCTGCTAAATGACTGTAATGTCAAGACTTTCAACAATAGAGCTTGCTCCCCATTTAGTGCACTAACCTTGACCAGGACCAGTAATGCTCTACATACAGTTAATATGGTACCATGTGAATTCCAGATAAACTGGAGGATTAATATTACATTCTAATCAAAGACCCCACCTTTTATGGCATGGGAAACAGCACCCACTGGTTGCAATATGGCTTTGAATAAGTTCTACTGCTAGGTTGCAATATGGCTTTGAATAAGTTCTACTGCTAGGTTGCAATATGGCTTTGAATAAGTTCTACTGCTAGGTTGCAATATGGCTTTGAATAAGTTCTACTGCTAGGTTGTCCCCAGAGCCAGGGCGTGACAGTTCTACTGCTAGGTTGTCCCCAGAGCCAGGGCGTGACAGTTCTACTGCTAGGTTGTCCCCAGAGCCAGGGCGTGACAGTTCTACTGCTAGGTTGTCCCCAGAGCCAGGGCGTGACAGTTCTACTGCTAGTGTAGTGAGCTGTGTTGCCTATTTGGACATGACTCATTTCACCTACCGTCATAATCTGTTGATGTAGCAATAAAACAAAGGCTGCACTGTTGATGCCACTCCAGCTGCCTTAGTTCAGACTTCAGACACTGAACTACACACAATCGTTTAAAATGTAAAAACTCAACTCATTCCTCTGTCAGCCTAGACAGTAGTTTTTTTATTAAAGCAGGAAAGTCCTCTTTATAAATGCTGATTCACATTACTTAGGCCACCACACACACGCACACGCACGCACACACACACACACACACACACACACACACACAGATGCAAAACTCTGATAAGAGGAAGAAGGTTATTTCATAGAAAACCCTCCAGAATGAAAGTGGACTACAGCTGATAAGAGACGTAAAGAGATGACTGGATTGTATGGTGGCCCGGGATTTGCCTCATGGTTACAAATTGCTTGAAATCTTTAAAGCACCTGACTGTTTATGGCCCCGTCCCAAACTACACCTTATTCCTTATGTAGCGCACTACTATCCTATGGGCCCTGGTCAAAAGTAGTGCACTGCATAGGGAATAGGGTGCCATTTGGGAAACACATAACATCGGTGTCTGAATAGAGACAGTGTACTCACACTGAAACCAAGTGTCAGGAGAGGTCAGTAGTTTGATAGAAAGTGTATCATGAGGAGAGGTCAGTAGTTTGATAGAAAGTGTGTCATGAGGAGAGGACAGTAGTTTGATAGAAAGTGTGTCATGAGGAGAGGTCAGTAGTTTGATAGAAAGTGTTTCATGAGGAGAGGTCAGTAGTTTGATAGAAAGTGTGTCATGAGGAGGGGTCAGTAGTTTGATAGAAAGTGTGTCATGGGGAGGGGTCAGTAGTTTGATAGAAAGTGTGTCATGAGGAGGGGTCAGTAGTTTTTGCCGACTAATATGTGACCAGACCTGCAGGAAAAAAAAAAGTCTATAAACATTAAAGTGGATGAAGAAGCATAGTCATAGAATATTAAAAACCGTTTCAGATTACCCGTTGTGTAGAACCCTGACTCACCAAAAATATACAGGTTAAGAACGTTTACAAACCTATCAAATGAATGGAAGAATTCATTGCTTTTACTCTTAGCTTCCACCCAGTGGTTATGTCCATGGTATGGATGGGCCCCACTGTGGCCTTTTGCTAAATATACACCACATGTGCATTGGGGGCTAGTGGGCTACTGTATGTGTTTTGATAATACTGGTGGATATGTTTCACCAGTGTGACTTAGTCACAGTAGTTCATATCTTCATAGATAACTTATTTAGCCTGAAAATAGTGCACCCATTTTCGTACATTTGCGAGAGAGAAAAATAATAATGGGTTCTATGTCAAATCCATGGTATGCGACCTTATCGTCTATGTAATAATGCAATAATTCTCGATTTTAAAAGAAAACGAAATATGTTCCGATCCCTTAGAATCCCTGATGGCTATTTTCTTTTTGAGCTGACTGAGTTTTATTTGAAAAATGTAAATGAGGGGTTTGGGAGTAAGTTGTGCTAACAATGTGCTTTTCCAATATTTTATTAATGTATTGCAGCACATCCCGTTAATTAAACATATGTATACTATTTATTACATGGTTATACTTTTTTGTAACAAGGATCAAGGGCAACAGTTCCTTCTGCACTGCACTTAACTCACAAGTTCACGTTCAAGAAAATAAATAGCATACAGTGCGACAATAATAGTCAATGAACCGCCAAAAACGAACCGTCCACTGCCATCTCTATAATAAACCCTCCAATAAACTATAGGGAAGTGTTCTACTCTGTATATAAACAAAGCGAAACGACACAGCCTGCCTGTCATCTGCCAGGAGGCAATAATCGTTTCAATGAAAATAAATCCTTTCCACTAATCCCTGTCTCTCCATTTAATCTCGGGCTTCGGAACAACGTTCAGACCAGTATGGGGCACTGAGATAGCAACACGATGCATCACAGGCTTGGAAGAACAAAATAAACTGTACTTTTTTTTTTTTTTTCAAACTATCTTGTAGTTTAGTTTGATAGTAGGCCTGCATTTGATAGTATTGTTTCGGAGAGAAAATGTTGCAAGGTTTTAGTCTGGGTTTCTGCTTGGCATTATTTTGCTTCGGACCGTTTGTTTGCAGCGCGTGTCCGTCTCAATGTAGCTGCTTCTTTCACAAGTTATCAGATGGATCCAAAGCAAGGTAAAAACCAGCGAAATTATGAAAACTATTTAAATTGTGAATGTGAACAACTTCTATTCTACATGTATGTTTTGTTGTGTGGTGCGTAGAATGCAGGTAGTATAAAGTCATGTTCTCTTCTACTCTCTTTTTTAAAATATAGGCGTAAGGATTAACTTGCTCTGCTCTAATCCCCTTTCCTTGGGTCTAATGAATAGCCCTAAACCATGTTCAACTAACGTTTAGACCGAGGAAAAAAATAAGAAAGAAGGGAAAAACTAAAGATGAAAACAGATCAAATAAAACAATATGTAGGTTGATTTTTTTTATGCAGTAATTGTACGTCTACCCTATGTCATGAACCCATACAAGGCCATGGTTAATTCAGTTAAACTTGTAATATTAACACGTTACAATAGGTTATACAGTGACTTTCACTAACGCGTTTACCTTTCTCTCCGTCTATCTAGGAGTGTCCTTTGCAATGACCCACAGATCACGCTGGTCCCACCCAACTTTCCCGCAGACACCTCGAAACTGCGGATCGAGAAGACTGCCATCACAAAGATCTCCAGCGAAACCTTTCACTACCTCAACAATCTGGAATTTCTCTGGATGTCTTTCAATTCTCTGAACTCTTTGAATGTAGACAGCTTCCGTGGCCTGAGAAGTCTGGATGAGCTGAGACTGGAAGGGAACGCTCTCACCTCTTTCCCCTGGGAATCTCTGACTGATATGCCCAACCTCAGGCTACTGGACCTGCATAATAATAAGATATCGTCGATCCCGGCCGAGGTGACCATCTATATCAAGAACCTGACCTACCTGGACTTATCTAGCAACAGCCTGGCCACTGTACCTCCGGAGGTTCTCTCTATGTGGTTATCTGTGAAACCGTCTCAAGAAGATGGGGACAGTTCCAAATATATTCTAGGTAAGGATCTGCTACCCAATTAAAACAATCTTTATTGACCTAGAGGGAATCCCATTTGGTTTGCAAGCCAGGATGAAATAGAAGCCTTAAATGACATGCAATTGATACACAGGAAAAGCGAGAAACAAACGACGCCATCTACAACATTGCAAGCCAGCGTGGTTTTATCCCAACATGCATTGCACGAGTACCTGTGGTGTGTTATGTAGCGTTAAATGGAAAGTTGGAGGAGACAGCAACAGCATTTGGGAGCGGTAAAAGGATTAGTCTAATTATAGTAAATATAGCCATACTGTAGTGTTAATGTGACTACATTCACTAGTATCACTTAAAACGAACATGATTACGTCTACTCACTATTAGGTCTTCCTAAACTGCCTTTTTATACACATCACACACGGTTATAGTTCAGACAGAGCAAGAACATTTGTCCAAAATGTGTACATACATATATATATATATATATATATATATATATTACATTTACATTTTAGTCTTTTAGCAGACGCTCTTATCCAGAGCGACTTACAGTTTGTGAGTGCATACATTTTTTTCATACTGGCCCCCCGTGGGAAACGAACCCACAACCCTGGCGTTGCAAGCGCCATGCTCTACCAACTGTGTTATCTATTTCCAAGGTAGAACTGGTGTTATCTATTGCCATGATAAAAGTAATGTTATCTATTGCCATGATAAAAGTAATGTTATCTATTGCCATGATAAAAGTAATGTTATCTATTGCCATGATAAAAGTAATGTTATCTATTGCAATGCTAAAAGTAATGTTATCTATTGCAATGCTAAAAGTAATGTTATCTATTGCAATGCTAAAAGTAATGTTATCTATTGCAATGCTAAAAGTAATGTTATCTATTGCAATGCTAAAAGTAATGTTATCTATTGCAATGCTAAAAGTAATGTTATCTATTGCAATGCTAAAAGTAATGTTATCTATTGCAATGCTAAAAGTAATGTTATCTATTGCAATGCTAAAAGTAATGTTATCTATTGCAATGCTAAAAGTAATGTTATCTATTGCAATGCTAAAAGTAATGTTATCTATTGTAATGCTAAAAGTAATGTTATCTATTGCAATGCTAAAAGTAATGTTATCTATTGCAATGCTAAAAGTAATGTTATCTATTGCAATGCTAAAAGTAATGTTATTTATTGCAATGCTAAAAGTAATGTTATATATTGCCATGATAAAAGTAATGTTATCTATTGCAATGCTAAAAGTAATGTTATTTATTGCAATGCTAAAAGTAATGTTATCTATTGCAATGCTAAAAGTAATGTTATTTATTGCAATGCTAAAAGTAATGTTATATATTGCCATAATAAAAGTAATGTTATCTATTGCAATGCTAAAAGTAATGTTATTTATTGCCATAATAAAAGTAATGTTATCTATTGCAATGCTAAAAGTAATGTTATTTATTGCAATGCTAAAAGTAATGTTATCTATTGCAATGCTAAAAGTAATGTTATCTATTGCAATGCTAAAAGTAATGTTATCTATTGCCATGCTAAAAGTAATGTTATCTATTGCAATGCTAAAAGTAATGTTATCTATTGCCATGCTAAAAGTAATGTTATCTATTGCCATGATAAAAGTAATGTTATCTATTGTAATGCTAAAAGTAATGTTATCTATTGCAATGCTAAAAGTAATGTTATCTATTGCAATGCTAAAAGTGTTGCTGATTATTTACTTTCCATTGTAGTTTCTTTACCTACCTTAGTTGAATGTACTGACTGTAAGTTGTTCTGGATAAGAGCATCTGCTAAATGACTAAAATGTTTACATTCTGGTGAAATTGTTTATTTTCTTAATCACTGTAGGTCTCCATGACAACCCATGGCTGTGCGACTGCCGGCTCTATGACCTGGTCCAATTCCAGAAGTCTCCGTCATCCTCCGTGGTTCTGATCGACACCAGGCTGAGCTGCGCTGACCCAGAGAGCCTGTCGGGGGTGCTGTTCAGCGAGACGGCGCTCCAGAGGTGCCAGGGGCCCCGGGTCCACACGGCTGTGGCCCGGGTCAGGAGCTCCCTGGGGAACAACGTCCTGCTGCGCTGTGGGAACCATCGGAGTCCCAATACCAGAGCTGTCCTGGACCCGGGCAGACGGCAAACAGATGAACGGCACTGGTGAGATTCATTGATTCCTTGATTGATTGATTGAATTTATTTGATGTGTAACAAATAGATATACAGCCAAGAACAAGCAGTAGCTACATGCTAAAAAGGGATGTAGTTGACTTATTTCTGTCGTGCTCCAGGTTTACTGTGTCTAAACCTGTTCTAGTCATGGCAGGTCTTAGCCTGATCCCAGATCTGTTTGTGCTGTCTTGGAAACTGTTTGGCGTAGTTGGCAAGACAGCACAAACAGATCTGGGATCAGGCTAAGACCTGCCATGACTGAAGGCTAGGCATATATATATATATACGTCTGCCTGTTGCCTGAATAAGTAGCTAGCTACAGTACTTAAGACATCTATTTTTGGCATTGTACAGTCAGAAGCTGAAATAGCCTAGATTACAGATGGATGGACTGTTTTCTTTTCACTAATCATTCTAACCACTTTTTGTTTGTATTTATTTTACAGTTCAGGAAGAAGTTTCAAAGGAGGGAATCATTTGGTCCATCCTGAGTGTGCCTGCCGTCTCTTACCGGGACTCTGGGAAATACATGTGCAAAGCGACCAACTTTGTGGGGACTGCAGATGCCATCATCTCCCTGGTTATCACAGACTCCTTTAAAAATGAGGAACAAGGTGGCAGCTCCAAGACTAGAAACCAAAGAGGACGGAAAACCGGTGGGTTTGGGAAAGCTGCCTACCAGGAGAAACTTGTTGCCAGATACATACCTCCACCAACCACCACGGCAGCCACGCCCATCATCGAGCCACTAGGACCGGGCGGTTTCACAGGGAAGTATGATATCGAGAGCTACAGTATTTTGGACACCGTGGCCGATGGACAGACGCCCGGTCCTCCCAGCAAGGAGCCGGCGATGCAGGAAGTGGAGAAGGAGGTTCTTAGCAACCTGGCAGCCAACGCCTCTTCTTTACAAGCGCCGGCACCGCCGGAGAAACGGGTGGTGCGCTCGGTGAAGGTAATCGGGGACACCGACCATACCGTCTCCCTGAACTGGCGGGCCCCGACAGCCAAGAACACCACCGAGTTCAGCGTCCTGTACGCCGTTTTCGGCGAGAGGGACATGCGGAGGATCAACGTAGGCGTGGGAAAGAACCGGATCACCATCGAGGGCCTTGTGCCAAGGACAAAGTACATCGCCTGCGTCTGCGTCAAAGGCCTGATCCCTAAAAAGGAGCAGTGCGTAATCTTCTCAACGGACGAGGCGGCCAGCGCTAGCGGCACCCAGAAACTCATTAACGTGGTGGTGATCACCGTGGCCTGCGTGATCGCTGTCCCCCTGACGTTGATCGTCTGCTGCGGGGCGCTCAAGAAGCGTTGTAAAAAGCTACTGGGGAGGAAATCCAAAGATATCCAAGACTCATATGTGACATTCGAGACCCTCTCCCCGGGACAAAAGCCCAAGGGGATGGAGGGGGAGTACCTTGCCAGGCAGCACCCAGATGAGTCCAACAGACTGCTCTCTGCTAGGTCCAGTGTGGGCTCTGAGGCCACTTGTAGGACTGAGGGACCGCCTAACGAGTACTTTTGTTGATACCAAATGATGGCCTCAACCTTTACAGAGCAGAGAAATCTGTCCTTTTTCAACCAGAACTTAAGTTGGTTGGTTGGTCTCTTCTGACAAGTGATGTACTGTAGATGTGTAGCTGAGTACACCGAGTGAAACTGCTCAGAGACTGGGACAGTTGCATGGACACGTGGGGTGGAGTCTAGATAAATATGAGGAATAAATGTTGACATAGCTGTGATTATACAGCCTTGTGGGAAATAAAAGGCCACCCTTGACCTGGTGAACTGTAAAAAAAACAAATATTTCATTGTACTCAAAATGTGCAAATAAGCATTTTATATTTGTCATGCACTTTTAAAGGGTGGTATTTATTGTAAGCAGTTACATTTCTTTGAAATGGCACTAGGGTTACAAAATTATGGTAACTTTAGCAACATTCCCAGGTTTTCCAGAAGTTCTTGGTGGAATCAGAATGGCATAAGGAACCCTAAATGGCACGTTCTACTAGAATACGTGAAACCCATCTTTTTAGAGGAAGCGTAATGACAGTTATTCTGAAATCTGAGCTCAGAATTCTGGCATAGTTTTTATTTGACAATGTCATGTGTTTGTAGAGTATTGGTGAAGCAACTCATATCTGTAGAGATATTTTGTACCTCTGTGTATTTACCATATATGTTAATGTGCCAGGTTTACTGTCCAATCAAATCTAACATACTATATATTTTGTAATATGTATCTATGATCTGATCTGATATATATATGTATAAATAAATATTTTATATAAATGTTTGTGTCCTCTTAAATCCTTACCGTCTCAATAAAAGCATGTTCCTCCCCAGAACACTTTTACAACAACTTTTTCAAGCAAATCAGAGGATAGGTTCTGTTTCAAAGAAACAGAACATCATAATGGGGTGATATCCATCTGGTGTCAATAGTAAATTATCAAGAGGTGATTAACAGACAGATGTAAACATTATGGCGCCAAGCCACAGCAAGGCGTAGCACCAGTATGCTCGGCAATAGCATATGTTTAAACTAAGTCTTAGTCCATACAGTATAATATAAATTTGAAGGGCTGAGAAGAGCTTAGCTTACAAGGAAACAAGTTGTGACCAGCGCCATGGATAGCGCCACGTGATAGCCTATGTTTGGTTTAGCGCGTCGTACGGCGCTGTCCATGGTGCTGGTCACAACTAGATTGCTTGTCATGGCCACTGTGGTCGTTTCCTTTGTACAGTACAGTTTGCAGACTACGTACATATGTCTGAAGAGCTCTTCCAACGTTCCTCAATTAATAGGCACGGATCCTTTGTTTCATGCAGAATACAAATAATAGGCGTTGGGTATATAGTGCCATTTTTTTCAATGGTTTGTATTGGCCTGATCTATAGATTGCATACTATACGTCCTGATTATCTACTTTTTTTTTGTCAAGTCACTGTCGGTGCATATTTAATATCAAGTAAGTATTTTTCTGAGAAGTCACATTATTTCTGAAATGTTCCATTCATTTATAGAGATTAAGAATACTTTATTGGTCAATTGCACACAAGGTCCAACCAAAACTTGACTTCCGCTTTTAACTCAACCCCTCCGAAAGACATACAGGTTTTTTGGAGAGGTGCGGGGAGCTACCACACTGGGCGCCCTTGGAGCTGTTGTTGTGGGGGGTTAAGGGCACAACGGCAGGCAATGGCATCTAGGATTTGATAGCAGCAACCATCCGGTTGCCAGCTCACTTCCCGCCAGATTTTTCCAGTCAGACCCGGGTTTACGAACTGGCGACTTTCCAGTTACTGGCTTGCCTCTCTACCCACTATGCTACCGGCCACCACACAACAAAACGTATTGCTAAAAATACAAACTTCCAGCGTGTTTAACATATCCTCTGGTGTCTTAAAGGGATTGCATCAAGGGAGATTAAGGTAATAGGTTTACCTCTACTGTCCGTCCCTGTGGAGACGACCTGCTCTAAAGCTTCACATGGGTTTCTGCTAAAGGAATATGGCCACCTTCTACACGCCATTAGCTATAGCTCTGCTATTCTACAAAGTCATTCCTGCCTCAACTTCCTGTTTACCCGGCTGCTCTTGCACAAATGACAACTTGGGAAAGTAAGTTGTTTGTTGTCAGTCCTTTCGTAGGCGACCTAGTTTTGTCCCGAGTTTCCTTACCGTGTCAGTACGGTTATGCAGTAGTGACTGATCAAGTGTAGCCTATTGCTGAACTCAGTGGTGGATTTTCATGACTGGTTTAAACAATGGACAATGTGGAGAGATACCATTTTACATTTTAGTCATTTAGCAGACGCTCTTATCCAGAGCGATTTACAGGAGCACGTCCACAGATTTTTTCACATAATAGGCACTTAACCGCTAGGCTACCTGCCGTCTGTGTCTGTTAAATGAATATATATAAATTATTCTAACCGTACTTCCATAACCCACAATGTTTTTGTTTGATTTTAGATCCTTACTTTGCATGGAAACCGCCATGGGACGAATCCCAGACAACGTTCCAAATGACTTCAGTAAAATCCGAATAGAGAATTCCCACCTGACCGAATTACCTCGCGGCTCCTTCGCTACGGTGAACGCCTTGGCGTCTCTGTGGTTGAATTTCAACGACATCACCCTGATGAACGTCAAGAGTCTCGAGGGGCTGACGAATTTAACGGAACTGCGGCTACAGGGAAACAAGCTGCGTTCAGTCCCATGGACGGCGTTCCAGGACACGCCGAACCTGAAGATTTTGGACCTGAAACGCAACCGACTAGACGTGCTCCCGGAATCCGCCCTGAGACAACTACCAGGCCTGACTTATTTAGACTTATCCTTCAATCAGCTTACCGTCATATCCAGGGATGTCTTCCTCAACTGGCCTCTCCTCAACACGCAGGAGAGAAACGGAGGTAAAGAGGCCAGCAGTGGAGAGGCCAACGTCGTTTTAGCGCTGCAGGACAACCCTTGGCTGTGTGACTGCCGCCTCAAAGGTTTCCTTGAGTTTATCAAAACCGTTAGTCCACCTCTAATTCTGATGAACTCGTACCTGACGTGCACGGGCCCGAGTTCCAGGGCGGGAAAGTTCTTCCACGAGGTCGGTTTGAAAACATGTATGAAACCCGAGGCCTCAGCCTCAGAAACCAACATGACGGTGTCGCTGGGGGACAATGTAACCCTCCAGTGCTTAGTCAAAGCCAGGCCTGACCCCGCCATCCACTGGTCATACAACCTGAAGATTATAAGGGGATTTACTGGTAAGGTTTTATTTAATTGCAACTTCTAGGCTATCATCCATTAGATTGCTGTGACTTTGCTGCAGTGGGGTATTTACCATGATCATGGTCAGTCATAGTTTATTGTAAGCTACACCACTTTGATGACATGATTTAGGACAAGTGGGCTAATGCATGTGTATGTCATTCATGACTTTGGTAGGCTATTGGTGTTTCTAAGTAGAAAAGCCATAGATTGATTGCAACAGTTTGTCCCAGCGTTTCTTGTAGGCAATCTCAACGATAATGTCTAATGCAACATATTACTGTAAATACTGTAAATATACAATATGTACCTGTTTAAACACCAACAACTCAACACCCACAATGATGTATGCAGAGTAGGTCTGTCTTGTTGATGAAGTTGTAACATCCCACTGGGCAAAGACGTCAATTCAACGTCTATTCCACGTTGGTTCAACGTAATTTGATTGAAATGACGTGGAAACAACGTTGATTCAACCAGTGTGTGCCCAGTGGGATAATTCTCCTTTCTCTCCCTCTTCAGTCTCAGAGACCCGTGTGGACGATGAGACCGTCAGATCTCAGCTGGTCATCCCATCCCTACACATGGCGGACCGAGGTGTCTACACCTGCTTCGCCAACAACTTCATCGGCAACTCCTCCGTCAGTTTCCTGGTCAACATCAAGTCTTTCAACGCCTCGTCCTCCGGCGGTGCCGCCATGTCTCCTCCCCCGTTCCTCCTGGCCTCGGCCGACGAGAACATCTACATCGACATCCGCATCTCCAAGCAGACGGTCTACGGCATCACTCTGGAGTGGTACGCTGCGACAGACAACCCAACAGAAACCTGGTTCACCATCCATTTGGGGAAATACCACTCCGACAAAAAGGAGTTGACATACATCGGGCCGGGCATCAACACATATTCGGTCGACAACCTCCTACCGGTTACTAAATACGAGGTGTGTGTGACGCTGAAGAACCAGACGCCTCGCGCCGGCCAGTGCATCGTGTTCGTAACAGGAAGTGACATCAGCCAGCTGGAACAACGGGAGAAGCTCATCCATATTATGGTGATCGTGTGCGTCATGGGGCTGGCGGTGCCCGTGGGCATGTACGCCTGCACCACCGACACCAGATGTACGTTCAGCTGCCTGGACCGCTGTACGGAGCAGTGTAAGAGGAGGAGGCGGCAGGAGAAGACCCTGAGGACGAATGGGGAGAGACAGGGGACCTTCGACAGCCTCCAGGCCACCAGCGATGAAGGACTCTGTCGTGACTCTGAAGAGGTGATGATGAAGAGGAGGTCCTCCCAGGATAAAAACAACCACAAGGGCAGAGCACAAGATCCACCAGAGACAACCATTGGAGCAAAGCTTTATTAGCTCTAGGTTTTAATGAAAAAATAGGTAAAAATAGGGAGCAGTCTTCTGTGAAGTGAAGCTTTAGGAAACACATCCATAAAGCTTAAAGTAGTCAAGAGTGAAATGCCTTTTTTCCATGTCTGTAGGAAGAGTATATTGTTTTATGTGTTATCAAAATGACCTGTCTGTAAGTAATCAAATGTTTCTTTTTTAAAGTTGATATACTGTATCTTTGGGATATGTTTTATTTAGCTTGATTGTTCTCTGTTTTAAAAGAAAAAACTCATCTGGCAAGAAATCATGAATGTTGCTTGTAATGTTACATGTAATATAGTTGAAATATTTTAATTGTCTTCAGAATGTAATGAACTGCATTTCCTCTCTGCTCATTGAAACTCATTCCTTTAGCGCCACACCAGGTTCAGTCAAATAGACAGTAACCATGCCTTTGCACTACGACCTTTGTAATGAATGAGGCTTCTTTGCTATTGTTTTCCTGTTTTGGGGTGGGATGATGAGGATTAGAGTTGGGGGTGAAGAGAGACAGCACGGTCCTAATAGCTCCCTACCAAAATCCCATAGGCTGGTCAAAAGTAGTGCCCTACACAGAGAATAGTGTGCTACTTAGATCTTAACCATGTCTCTCAGAGAGAAGTTATTTATTGTACCTTTATTTAACTAGGCAAGTCAGTTAAGAACAACTTCTTATTTACAGTGACGGCCTACACCGGCCAAACCCGGACGACACTGGGCCAATTGTGCCCCCGCCCTATGGGACTCCCAATTACGGCCGGTTGTGATACAGCCTGGAATCGAACCAGGGGGTCTGTAGTGACACCTCAAGCACTGAGATGCAGTGCCTTAGACCGCTGCACCACTCGGGAGCAGCATGAGATCTTCTCTGAGTGACTGCATTAGATGATCCGTTCTGATATCTGTTTTTTATACATAAAATACACATTATCCGTCACATTAAGGGGTAATTAGTCTACTCTTAAATTGACTTGAATGTACTTTTGTATTCAACAATGAACTAAAATATATTTCTTTCACATGCCAATGTGATCAAAACATGTATAGTCTTCAATAAATGCACATCTATTGTGGAGTTAAAGATATTCTACTTCTGTGATTTGTATCATCATACGTTTATGTCTTTCACTTTATTAAGTTAACAATTCAGGTAACTTTTCCAAAATGTTCAGGTTTTCCATAAATCCCGGTTGGAAGATTCCCGGAATCTGGAGTGAATATGCAGGAAATCCAGATTTTTCTTAGCCCTAACTACTGAACTGACTGAGGTTGGTTTGACTACTGAACTGACTGAGGTTGGTTTGACTACTGAACTGACTGAGGTTGGTTTGACTACTGAACTGACTGAGGTTGGTTTGACTACTGATCTGACTGAGGTTGGTTTGACTACTGAACTGACTGAGGTTGGTTTGACTACTGAACTGACTGAGGTTGGTTTGACTACTGATCTGACTGAGGTTGGTTTGACTACTGATCTGACTGAGGTTGGTTTGACTACTGATCTGACTGAGGTTGGTTTGACTACTGATCTGACTGAGGTTGGTTTGACTACTGAACTGACTGAGGGTTTGGTTTTTGACTACTGAATTTTAAAATTTGAGGGTTTTGGGTTTTACTACTATCTGACTGAGGTTTTTTTGGCCCAAAGAAAATCTGAGGGTTTGGGTTTTGGTATGAACTGACTGAGGTTTGGTTTTTACTAAATGAAATGACTGAGGTTGGTTTGGGTACTGAACTGACTGAGGTTGGGGTTTTTAAATACTGAACTTTACTGAGGTTTGGGTTTTTAAATACTGATCTGAGGGGGTTGGGGTTTACTACTGAACTTACTTAGGTTGGTTTTACTCTGAACTGACTGAGGTTGGTTTGAAATACTGAACTTACGGGGGTTTTGGGGTTTACTACTCCTTTACTGAGGGTTGGGTTTACTACTGAACGGGCTGAGGTTGGGTTTTACTATGAAACTGACTGAGGTTGGTTTTACTACGGAAATGACTTAGGTTGGGTTTTACTCCCGAAAAATGACTGAAAGGGTTTGGGTTTACTACTGAAAACTGAGGTTGGGGTTTGACTACTGAACTGACTGAGGTTGGTTTGACTACTGAACTGACTGAGGTTGGTTTGACTACTGAACTGACTGAGGTTGGTTTGACTACTGAACTGACTGAGGTTGGTTTGACTACTGAACTGACTGAGGTTGGTTTGACTACTGAACTGACTGAGGTTTGGTTTGACTACTGAACTGACTGAGGTTGGTTTGACTACTGAACTGACTGAGGTTGGTTTGACTACTGAACTGACTGAGGTTGGTTTGACTACTGACTGACTGAGGTTGGTTTGACTACTGAAACTGACTGAGGTTGGTTTGACTACTGAACTGACTGAGGTTGGTTTGACTACTGAACGTGACTGAGTTGGTTTGGACTACTGACTGACTGAGGTTGGTTTGACTACTGAACTGACGAGGTTGGTTTGACTACTGAACTGACTGAGGTTGGTTTGACTACTGACTGACTGAGGTTGGTTTGACTACTGAAACTGACTGAGGTTGTTGACTACTGGAACTGACTGAGGTTGGTTTGACTACTGAACTGACTGAGGTTGGTTTGACTACTGATCTGACTGAGGTTGGGTTTGACTACTGAACTGACTGAGGTTGGTTTGACTACTGAACTGACTGAGGTTTGGTTTGACTACTAACGAACTGATGTTGGTTTGACTACTGAACTGACTGAGGTTGGTTTGACTACTGAACTGACTGAGGTTGGTTTGACTACTGAACTGACTGAGGTTGGTTTGACTACTGAACTGACTGAGGTTGGTTTGACTACTGAACTGACTAGTTGGTTTTACCTACTGAACTGACCTGAGGTTGGTTGACTACTGAACTGACTGAGTTTGGTTTGACTACTGAACTGACTGAGGTTGGTTTGACTACTGAACTGACTGAGGTTGGTTTGACTACTGACTGACTGAGGTTTGGTTTGACTACTGATCTGACTGAAGGTTGGTTTGACTACTGAACTGACTGAGGTTGGTTTGACTACTGACTGCTGAGTTGGTTTGACTACTGATCTGACTGAGTTGGTTTTGACTACTGAACTGACTGAGGTTGGTTTGACTACTGACTGACTGAGGTTGGTTTGACTACTGATCTGACTGAGGTTGGTTTGACCTACTGAACTGACTGAGGTTGGTTTGACTACTGAACTGACTGAGGTGGTTTGACTACTGAACTGACTGGGTTGGTTTGACTACTGAACTGACTGAGGTTGGTTTGACTACGGACTGACTGAGGTTGGTTTGACTACTGACTGACTGAGGAGGTTGGTGTTGACTACTGAACTGACTGAGGTTGGTTTGACTACTGATCTGACTGAGGTTGGTTTGACTACTGATCTGACTGAGGTTGGTTTGACTACTGAACTGACTGAGGTTGGTTTGACTACTGAACTGACTGAGGTTGGTTTGACTACTGAACTGACTGAGGTTGGTTTGACTACTGATCTGACTGAGGTTGGTTTGACTACTGAACTGACTGAGGTTGGTTTGACTACTGAACTGACTGAGGTTGGTTTTGACTACTGAAACTGACTGAGGTTGGTTTGACTACTGAACTGACTGAGGTTGGTTTGACACTGAACTGACTGAGGTTGGTTTGACTACTGAACTGACTGAGGTTGGTTTTGACTACTGAACTGACTGAGGTTGGTTTGACTACTGAACTGACTGAGGTTGGTTTTGACTACTGAACTGACTGAGGTTGGTTTTGACTACTGAACTGACTGAGGTTGGTTTGGACTACTGAAACTGACTGAGGTTGGTTTGACTACTGAACTGACTGAGGTTGGTTTGACTACTGAACTGACTGAGGTTGGTTTGGACTACTGAACTGACTGAGGTTGGTTTGACTACTGAACTGACTGGGTTTTTTTGCTACTGAAATGACGATTTGGTTTGACTACTAACTGCTGAGGGGGTTTACTATGAACCCACGGGGGTTGGTTTTACTACTGAACTGACTGAGGTTGGTTTTTTACCCACTGAACTGCCCAGGTTGGGGGTTTACTACTGACTACTGAGGTTGGTTTTTAAATACTGAACTGAAATGAGGGTTTTGGGTTTTTCTTTCTGAAAGACTGATTTTTTTTTTGACTACTTAACTACGAGGTTGGTTTGACTACTGAACTGACTGAAGGGTTTGGGTTTTACTACTACTGACTGAGGTTTTGGGTTTTTTTTACTTACTGACTGAGGTTTGGGTTTTTCTACTGAAAATGACCCCAGGTTGGTTTTACTACTGAAACTACTGAGGTTGGTTTTTCCCACTGAATCCCGACCCGAGGTTTGGTTTTACTACTGACCCGAAATGAGGGTTTGGGTTTTACTACTGAACCTAGGTTGGTTTTTATACTGAACTTACTGAGGGTTTTTTTTGACTAAATGATCTGCCCGGGTTTGGTTTTAAATAGATCTTTTATAAGGGTTTTTTTACACTGAACTGACTGAGGTTGGGGTTTTTTTACTTAACTTACCCGAGGGTTTTTTGACTACTGATCTGCTGGGTTGGTTTTACTACTAACTGCGAGGTTGGTTTTACTACTGAAGACCCGAGGTTGGTTTTAAATACTGAACTACTGAGGTTGTTTTTACTACTGAAATGACTGAGGGTTGGGGTTTACTACTGAACGACTGGGTGGGTTTTTTTACTCTTTAAAATGACTGAGGTTGGTTTTTACTATGAACTGACTGGGTTGGGTTTTACTACGGGAAATGACTGAGGTTGGGGTTTGCTCCCGACCCGACTGAGGTTTGGGTTTTACTACTGACACTGAGGTTGGTTTGGGCTACTGAAAAACTGAGGTTTTTTGGGTTTAAATTTCTGACTTACTGTGTTGGTTTTACTCGAACTGACTGAGGTTTGGGTTTTACTACTGAAAAGAACCCCCGGGGTTTGGGTTTTTCCCATGAAATGACTGGGGGTTGGTTTGAATACTGAAATGACTGAGGTTTTTTTTGGGGGCTACTAACTGACTGAAAGGGTTTGGGTTTTACTACTAAAAAACTGAGGTTTTGGGGGGAACTGAAATGACTGAGGTTTTTTTTGCTACTGGGAAATGAACCCAGGTTTGGTTTTTACTACTGAACTGACTGATTTGGGTTTTACTACTGAAATGACCCGCGGTTTTGGGTTTACTACTGAAATGAAAGGGGGTTGGGGTTTTACTACTGATCTTAAAGAGGGTTTGGTTTTTTCCCACTAACTGACTGAGGGTTTGGTTTTAAAACTGAAACTGACTGAGGTTTTGGTTTTAATCCCTTTAATTTACTGGGTTTTTTTTGAAATACTGAACTGACTGAGGTTGGTTTGACTCGAACTGACTGAGGTTGGTTTGACTTTCTGAAAGACTGAGGTTTTGGGTTTTAGACTTTCTGAACTGACTGAGGTTGGTTTTACTACTGAACTGACTGAGGTTGGGTTTTTACTACTGAACTGCCCGAAGGGTTTGGGTTTTACTACTGAAACTTTTTTCTATAACTTCTATTTTTTTAAAAGACAAAAAAGGGGGGGTTTGTCTAATGACATTTTGAATGACATGAGGGGGGGTTTTGATCACGAATTTAAGGTTTTTTTTGGGAAAGAATGGGCAAGGGGTTTTAATGCGATAGGGGTTTTGGTTAAATTTTTTTAAAACAAAACAGGGGTTTACATCTAAAGGGTTTAATATAATTTACAATTGGTTTCCACATTACGGGGGAAAAAAACGACTGAATTTGGTTTTAATCGTTTACTGAAAGGGGGATAAAACTACATTTTTTGAAAACATGGTTTTTTAAAATACAAAATAAAATTGGTTTTATACACTAAATGAAAATTGGGGTTTTCATAAAATGAAAAAGGTTTGGTTTTCACTACAAATTGAAATTGGGTTTTCACTAACTGAAAAATTTTTTGACACAAATGAAACATTGACTCGGGTTTTACATAAAATTGGTTTTTAAAAACATGGGGGTTTTACAAAATTTCCCCCTTTTTTTACTGACTAAAAATTTTCAACGTTTTTTGGGGAAAATAACTTAAACTGTGAGGTTGGTTTTTCCATAAGGGGTTTTCCCGGGTATGAGGGGACAGATTCATTGGAAATAAAGAATGCCCGGGGGTTGGTTTTAATGAAATTTTTAAAATGAATGAATGATTGGGTTTCACAACACGGGGGGTTTTTATTGAAACCCCCCGGGTTTTTGGGGTTTTTCTATAAACCGACAGGGTTTTCATACCTATTGGGTTTCCAAATGGGGGGTTTTTTTTATTTCTGGAATTTTTTTGGGACACAAAAATTATTTTTTATATTCCCTTTTTTTTCAATTTTTTTACCCTGACACAGGGGCACAACGACAGGGGAAATACGAAAGCTTTGGGTTTTTACTACTCCCTCTGGGGGTTTTTCCCATGGCCCAAAATTGGTTTTCACCCCTTCCCCAGGTTTGGTTTCACGGGCCCCCACCCCAGGGGGTTTGCCACCCCCAAACCCTGGGTTTGGGTTTTCTACAACCCCCACCTTTGGTTGGTTTTTTACCCCATTTTATGGAAAATTTTTTTAAACCCCCAACCCCAGTGTTTTTACCACCCCCCAACCCCACTGTGTTGGGTTACACCCCCAATCCCCAGGTTTTTTTACACCCCCAACCCATGGGTTGGGTTACTACGGAATCCCCCCTGGTGGGTTTGGGTTTCACAACCCCCACCCCAGGTTTTTTTTACACCCCCTTTAAAAGCCCTTTTGTTTACACCAAAACCCCCCCTGGGTTGGGTTTTACCCCCCAACCCTAGGTTTGGGTTTAAAACCCCCACCCCATGGGTTGGGTTTACCCCACCCAATGCCTGTTGGGTTTACCTACCCCCCTTTTCCCCCATTGGTTTACACCCCCACCCCACTGGGTTTTTGCTCCAACTCCCCCTTTTTTGCCTCCATTTTTTTACACCCCCAATCCCCATTTTTTTACACCCCCATTCCCAGGTTGGTTTTACACCCAATCCCCCGGTTTTTACAACCAACCCCCACCCCGGTTGGGTTTTACACCCCCTCCCCAGGTTTTTTTGCACAACCCCCACCCCAGGTTTTTACGACCCCCAATTTTTTAGGGTTGGTTTTCAAAACCTTTTTCCCCATGTCTCCATTGGTTTACACTATCCTTAGGGTTTTTCGGCATGGGTTTAAAACCTTACCCAGTTTTGTTGTTCACACCTAATTTGGTTTGATTACTAAAATAATCCCCGGGTTAGGGTTTCCCCACCCCCTCCCAGGGGGTTCATGTTACATTTTTCACTTCCCCCCCTAGGTTTGGTTTTCCACCCCCAAAACCCCAGGTTGGTTTCCTCCATTATTGGTTTCCAACACCAGGTTTTATCCCTGTGGGTTTTTTACTTCCCACCCCCACCCAGGGTTTTACTTTTCACACCTTATTTTTCTTCCCCCTATATTTTACACCCCGGAAACCCCCACCCCGGGTTTTTTACCACCCCCATCCCTATTTTTCCTCCCAGGGGGTTTACACCCCCTCCCCAGGGGGGTTCTCCCGTTTAACCCCCATTGGGGGCCTCCATATTGGTTCAAAAAAACACCCCCATTTTTGTCTCCATTGGGTTTAACCCCCTTCCCCATGGCTATTTTTTTACACCCCCATCCCTATTGCCTGCATGTTCACACCTCCATCCTAGTGCCTCATGCTCACACCTCCATCCCTAGTGCCTCCATGTTCACACCTCCATCCCTAGTGTCTCCATGTTCACACCTCCATCCCTAGTGTCTCCATGTTCACACCTCCATCCCTAGTGTCTCCATGTTCACACCTCCATCCCTAGTGCCTCCATGTTCACACCTCCATCCCTAGTGCCTGTATGTTCACACCTCCATCCCTAGTGCCTCCATGTTCACACCTCCATCCCTAGTGCCTCCATGTTCACACCTCCATCCCTAGTGCCTGCATGTTCACACCTCCATCCCTAGTGTCTCCATGTTCACACCTCCATCCCTAGTGCCTGTATGTTCACACCTCCATCCCTAGTGTCTCCATGTTCACACCTCCATCCCTAGTGTCTCCATGTTCACACCTCCATCCTTAGTGCCATCTCTATTTCACTAATAAATCATTAAATTTTTTCCATTGTGTTAATGGTGGTGGATTCATTGATTTCCATGTTTTTAATATACTTTTTTTCAAGATGAGTGATGTGAAAAGAATCGTCCAGCCCGTTGGGTATCTCACTACACCCCCACAAACGTATTTCTGTAGAACTGGTTTATTGTATTCTGAAACTTAAATCTAGCTGCTATGAAGAAACAAGATCACCACACAACATAATTATTTTCAAAATGATCAATATAAAGACAATATTAAAGTTTTCACTTAAAGGGACAGGCAAGTGTTACACAGCATTACAAACATAGACACAGAATATATTGTATCCAAAACATTTTCATGTAGTGTGAACATACTGTACACAGTGTTGAAATGAATGCTTCAAAAATCTGACCAAGTTTATGGCCAATTTTGAGAAACGGCTGTTTATTTTGACTCACATGTGTCAGTAAATAAATTATCTATGTCCATTTCTACAGTTTGATATTTACTGAAGCAACAAAGACATCCCTTCATTTAAATGAGTAATCCAACACCAACCCACCCAATTAAAAGATGACCCCTTTAGAAATGTAAAAGCATTTAAGAAAGAAAAAAAAAAAAAACAGAGAAAGAAAAAAAAGCTGGTGATTTGAAACAAGAGCGTCATAATCCTCGAACATCTACTTCTCTACCTCAAAATATGACACTGTTAGAATGTCACTACACAGGTCCATGAGCACTTCATGTTTTAAGCTATGGAATTTATCCTGTCAAGAATATCTCTCATTTAATAGCTGTTTTATATACAGATAGCTGCATTATCGCTCTGACGCACAAATGAGTACATTTGTCTGTAGCAACATAGCCTACATATTAATCCTAATTCTATATTTAAGCACTATTCTTGAAAACATTGCAGGGTCTTAAGCAAATAAAATAAAACTGTTCAGGAAACGTCTTGTTCAGTTCTGTATACACAGAAATGCGCAGTAGTCCTTGGCTCAGACATGGCCCAGTATTTCCCCCTCAGTCACTCTTGTTAACATGTTGTTTCCCTCAAGATGGCAGCAATGCAGAGACTTATCTAACAAGGATCCCATTACACGTCTCAAGATGGCAGAGCAGAAATGTCTCTAGTTATTTCTAACGCTGGATGACAGAGACTGCGTCCCAAATAGCACCCTATTCCCTATATAGTGCACTATTTTTGACCAGGGTCCATAGGTCCATGGATCCAACTATCCAACGTTATGTTAACATCTTTAATAACACACGTAGAACTGGTTGGATTCAATAGGTTCAGTCAAATGTGTTGCAACATTGCTTTGACAAAGGACTTGCTTTGAAAATGCGTCATCAATAACATTTAGAAGGAAATTAAAACTGCTGTCCTCAACCTTCCTTTACAATTGCAGTTTTACAATCCTAGGACTGAGCACCCCTTCAGCGGTCCAGACAATTACTGAAAGATTGGTTAGAGAGCCAGCACACCACAACTTTCAGGTTCAATAATAGCTTGAGTTGCTCTCAATGATTTTCTGCTCCAGCCTCATTTTGAGTTCAGAGACCAGGGCTGAGCTGACGGGGTTCCTAGAACTCTCGGAGCTGACGTTGATCTCCCTGCTCTGGCTGGATCTCCTGGAGCCCTTGGAGGTCAGAGCCCCAGAGACGGTGGGCACTTCTGCCCAGGGCCGGGGCCTCTCACTGGGTCTGGGGTTGGAGGACGGAGGGGGGCAGGATGGAGGGGGCAGGCAGGGAGCTCGAGGGGGCGAAGGCTTGGGCTTTGACCTGGAGCACTGGGGGCCGCTGTTGTTGTTGGGGTTGAGGTTGACACTCCCTGCTTCCGGGTCGGCTACGACGAACTTGTTCGACGAGTCATTTCCGCCACCACGGAACGGGACGTTAAAAGTCCACGGCTTGCGGTCCCTTGGCGGTCTCCGTCTGATGATGATGCGACGTGCCGGCATTATCCTGTTGGACTTTGTGTTGCGCAAGAACATAGCCGTGGAGATCAAGACAGTGACCCCTACCAATATGCTGATGACGCCAGCGACCATGCCTAGAGCCTTCATTGGGTTGTCCCTACTTTGCAATAAAAAGGCTGCCATAGACCCCTTGAGTTGAGTCTGTAAAAGAGCACAAAGAGAATACTTTCAATCACGCCCATCCACGGGACTAGATTATCAAATGTTTTAAACATTGACCATTTTGGTCCGTAGCATGTAGGCAAGCAATGAGGTCAGAGGTCAGACATGGATGAGCCAAGCACTGACAGAGGAGCCCCAGACAGACGACATCTCTATAACACTAGCAGAACTGACAGAGGACAGACGACATCTCTATAACACTAGCAGAACTGACAGAGGACAGACGACATCTCTATAACACTAGCAGAACTGACAGAGGACAGACGACATCTCTATAACACTAGCAGAACTGACAGAGGACAGAGGACATCTCTATAACACTAGCAGAACTGACAGAGGAGCCCCAGACAGACGACATCTCTATAACACTAGCAGAACTGACAGAGGACAGACGACATCTCTATAACACTAGCAGAACTGACAGAGGAGCCCCAGACAGACGACATCTCTATAACACTAGCAGCACGATGACTGCAAGCGGTCCTGTGTGGCTCGGTTGGTAAAAGCATGGGGGGGGCCAGCAACACCAAGGTTGGGGGTTCAATTCCCACAGGAAGCCCATAAATGCACTAATATAGTATGTACTCACTGTACTGTAAGTCACTTTGGATAGAAACATCTGTTAACTGGCATATTTTATATTATATAATATGTGCTTTGACGCTGATAAATTCTCAAACACCCATTCATCCCGGGTTGATGATAGAGGCTCAGATGACCCAAATGACAACATAGGCTCTACTGGCGGGTTCATCAGAACGGTTCTATCTGATCACTAGCAGTGACATGTTTCTGATGAGGATTGTGTTGTGGATGAAGTTCCTGTGACAGGTTCATAAAGCACTGCATTGAGAGCTACTGGGGTCTCCGGATGAGCGGATATGAGAATTGACATGAGAAATAGAGATTACTCTGATCTTCTGACAAAGGGGCTCAAATAGACACTGGCCTGGAATTAAATGACTTCATGTTTGTTGTTAGTGTAGCATAGTTAGTATAGTAAACTGTTTAAAATATACTATGGCTGTGGTAAGGGTTAAGGTTAGAAGGCTATGGGAAGGTTTTGGGTTAGTTAAGGTAAGGGTTAGGTAACTCAGGTTTAAAGTCTTACAACCCAGTGATGCCGATGCTCAACACAGCCGTAGTCAGGAGGAATGTTCCCTCAATTGTTTTTTTTTGTTGCCACGTAGCAAATTCCAGGTCTGCCGAGCGCAAACTTGAACATTGTGAAAATTCTGTGCAACTTCCGGCGCGCGTTTCCTGTGAACACGGAGGCTGTTTCCTGTGAACACTGAGGCTGTACCCGCTTTAAGTTACAGTTTTAACAGTGGCCAAGTAGGCTACTGTGGCTATTTGATCATAATGTAGGCCTACCAGAGTGGCCTACCATCAAAAACAGTGGAGAAAATGCATCCCATAACATTTTAACATGGAAATAGATGTTCTATCGTTCAGCCTACAGAAGCAGCCAATGTGTGGTGTTCAATGTAGGCCTACTTTCCAAGAGACTTTTGAGAAAAAAAACATGCAGGGCTTGACATTAACCTGTTCATCCACTTGTCCTTCAGACAAGGAGGTGACTGAAAATGTTGTTGTGTTGTTTGATGCAAGAAACCACTTTACAAAATAAAATACATTATTATTCCCATACCATTATTATAGAGAATCAAGACAAATTATGCTACCCTCTGCCTATTGGCTACTTAGCTTATTCAAGCCTGTATCAAAATACAACACTGCCCCTTTAAGACAAAATGTGCACACGTGGCTACATGCAGCTCTCGCTTTGATCTCAAAACAAGCGCATCTACTCACGACCGCTCATGCTGTTAACACAGTCCAGTTCAAAGTAAATGGCACAGATCCATATATGGCAATGATCTATTTGCATACAGGCCTACCGCAGCTCTGATTGGTTATGCCACACCGGTCTATGTAAAGTACGGGCTGAGTAGTGCCTGTCAATGCAATAGAATCCTACTCTGATGCGTTCTGCCTACAACAAAATCTCTTGCATAGTTTGTTTTGTTTCGGTATGTTGCGATGAAAGTACCTAATATTATGTTGATTCGATCACACTTGCCACGGTAAAGGGAAACGTTGGTAGTGTTAACAGGGGAAACTCTAGAGCAGTGGTCACCAACCTTTCCTGAGTCAAGATCACTTGGAAATGCAAGCCGAGATCTACCGCTCAGATATGTTTTTAACATGACTGATATAGAAATTAAAATATATACAGGTTAAAAGTAATGACTAAATGTTCCACCCTTAAATATAGTTGTGAAATGTTCTTGTTTTAAGTATGATTAGTACTTTCTTAGTAGTGACTAATTATTATACTCCGAAACTGTGTGAGATGTGTTAGAATCTACTACCTGGTAATGTGTGAGTGTAGGACCAGTAAAGATTATGACATTGTGTTACTATTTAGCAACGTGAGGAGGAGTTAGACCGGATGGCGAAGAAGATGGAGAACTGTTAAACATGGTGCAGAATATTGTGAGAACGGCGATAACTGAGGAATGCAGGGAGTGTATATGTGTGTGTATGTATGTGTGTATATGTGTGTGTATGTGTGTGTGTGTGTGTGTGTGTGTGTGTATGTATGTGTGTGTGTGTGTGTGTGTGTGTATGTGTGTGTGTGTGTGTGTATGTATGTGTGTGTGTGTGTGTGTGTGTGTGTATGTGTGTGTGTGTGAACTGATGGTCAGGAGAGCAGTTTTAAAGTGGAAAACTACAGCCCGCCTACAGAGGGGTGGGATTTTCTTATGACGTGTGCGTATAAAAATATTGTACGACCATTTTGTGGCAGAATTCTCAATGAATAAAGATCTCTGAATATTGCAACTGGGACTCTGTCCGTTTCTTGATCCAAAAGCGTTACAACCTTTTGGGAGACGCACAGAGACACTGAGATAGTTTGTTAAATAATTCTCATAACAATGACGTTAAAAAAAATTCGCCTATGCAACATTAACCAATTAAAAACAGTACTGTAGCAATGAGGTTTGTGCAGTAAGCTATAGGCCCAGTACATTATCACCGCATATTGGCTTTGCTTGAATTGCCCTGCCAATGAATGCGTTGTTGTTCGGGCCATTTTATTTCTAAATTTGAGGTGGGCTATATGATCACACCAGTAATAGATACGTTGTTGTATTACTTGTGAAGCACAGCTGAGTGAGCATACATTTAAATAATTCGTTTTTTATTTTTTACGGGGCTGATGGTGCCTGCATCTGATGGTCAGTCTCAGCGGAGGGAGAGAGCAGAAGACTGAGGCTCCGCCTCTCATCACTCCGCTCTCCCTTTCCTTCACTGACCAAAAAGGGACACCGTCTTCCAGCTGATGGCGAAACTCGAGTCACACCGTATTATTATTTAATGCACAAATTCATGTTGTTACTCCTATGAACAGAGAAAGTGAAATATTCCACGCTATTAAAAAATGACAGAAGCCACTAATAATAACAACAACGCAAGCCTGCAGGTGGTTAGTGTTAGGGTTAGGTGGTTAGCGTTAGGGTTAGGTGGTTAGCAATTGGGTTAGGTGGTTAGCGTTAGGGTTAGGTGGTTAGCGTTAGGGTTAGGTGGTTAGCATTTGGGTTAGGTGGTTAGCGTTAGGGTTAGGTGGTTAGCGTTAGGGTTAGGTGGTTAGCATTAGGGTTAGGTGGTTAGTGTTAGGGTTAGGTGGTTAGCGTTAGGGTTAGGTGGTTAGCGTTAGTGTTAGGTGGTTAGCGTTAGTGTTAGGTGGTTAGCATTAGGGTTAGGTGGTTAGCGTTAGGGTTAGGTGGTTAGCGTTAGGGGGTTAGTGTTAGGGTTAGGTGGTTAGCATTAGGTTTAGGCAGTGAGGCAGTTAGGGTTAGATTAGGGTTAGGGTTGGGTGGTTAGCGTTAGGGTTAGGTGGTTAGCATTAGGGTTAGGTGGTTAGCATTAGGGTTAGGTGATTAGCGTTAGGGTTAGGTGGTTAGCGTTAGGGTTAGGTGGTTAGCGTTAGGGTTAGGTGGTTAGCATTTGGGTTAGGTGGTTAGCGTTAGGGTTAGGTGGTTAGCGTTAGGGTTAGGTGGTTAGCATTTGGGTTAGGTGGTTAGCGTTAGGATTAGGTGGTTAGCGTTAGGGTTAGGTGGTTAGCGTTAGGGTTAGGTGGTTAGCATTAGGGTTATGTGATTAGCATTAGGTTTAGGCAGTGAGGCAGTTAGGGTTAGATTAGGGTTAGGGTTAGGTGGTTAGCGTTATGGTTAGGTGGTTAGCATTAGGGTTAGGTGATTAGCGTTAGGGTTAGGTGGTTAGCGTTAGGGTTAGGTGGTTAGCATTAGGGTTAGGTGGTTAGCGTTAGGGTTAGGGTTAGGGGGTTAGGGTTAGGTGGTTAGCATTAGGGTTAGGTAATTAGCGTTAGGTGGTTAGCATTAGGGTTAGGTGATTAGCGTTGGGGTTAAGTGGTTAGCGTTAGGGTTAGGTGGTTAGCATTAGGGTTAGGTGATTAGCATTAGGTTTAGGCAGTGAGGCAGTTAGGGTTAGATTAGGGTTAGGTGGTTAGCGTTAGGGTTAGGTGGTTAGTGTTATGGTTAGGTGGTTAGTGTTAGGGTTAGGTGGTTAGCATTTGGTTAGGTGGTTAGTGTTAGGGTTAGGTGGTTAGCGTTAGGGTTAGGTGGTTAGCGTTAGGGTTAGGTGGTTAGCATTAGGGTTAGGTGGTTAGTGTTAGGGTTAGGTGGTTAGCTTTAGGGTTAGGTAATTAGCGTTAGGTGGTTAGCATTAGGGTTAGGTGATTAGCATTAGGGTTAGGTGGTTAGCGTTAGGGTTAGGTGATTAGCATTAGGTTTAGGCAGTGAGGCAGTTAGGGTTAGATTAGGGTTAGGGTTAGGTGGTTAGCGTTAGGGTTAGATGGTTAGCATTAGGGTTAGGTGGTTAGCGTTAGGGTTAGGTGGTTAGTGTTATGGTTAGGTGGTTAGCGTTAGGGTTAGGTGGTTAGCATTAGGGTTATGTGATTAGCATTAGGTTTAGGCAGTGAGGCAGTTAGGGTTAGATTAGGGTTAGGGTTAGGTGGTTAGCGTTAGGGTTAGGTGATTAGCGTTAGGGTTAGGTGGTTAGCATTAGGGTTAGGTGATTAGCGTTAGGGTTAGGTGGTTAGCGTTAGGGTTAGGTGATTAGCGTTAGGGTTAGGTGGTTAGCATTAGGGTTAGGTGATTAGCGTTAGGGTTAGGTGGTTAGCGTTAGGGTTAGGTGGTTAGCGTTAGGGTTAGGTGGTTAGCGTTAGGGTTAGGTGGTTAGCGTTAGGGTTAGGGTTAGGTGGTTAGTGTTAGGTGGTTAGCATTAGGGTTAGGTAATTAGAGTTAGGTGGTTAGCATTAGGGTTAGGTGATTAGCGTTAGGGTTAGGTGGTTAGCGTTAGGGTTAGGTGGTTAGCATTAGGGTTAGGTGATTAGCATTAGGTTTAGCCAGTGAGGCAGTTAGGGTTAGATTAGGGTTAGGTGGTTAGTGTTATGGTTAGGTGGTTAGCATTTGGTTAGGTGGTTAGTGTTAGGGTTAGGTGGTTAGCGTTAGGGTTAGGTGGTTAGCGTTAGGGTTAGGTGGTTAGCGTTAGGGTTAGGTGGTTAGCATTATGGTTATGTGATTAGCATTAGGTTTAGGCAGTGAGGCAGTTAGGGTTAGATTAGGGTTAGGGTTAGGTGGTTAGCGTTAGGGTTAGGTGGTTAGCGTTAGGGTTAGGTGGTTAGCGTTAGGGTTAGGTGGTTTGCATTATGGTTATGTGATTAGCATTAGGTTTAGGCAGTGAGGCAGTTAGGGTTAGATTAGGGTTAGGGTTAGGTGGTTAGCATTAGGGTTAGGTGGTTAGCATTAGGGTTAGGTGATTAGCGTTAGGGTTAGGTGGTTAGCGTTAGGGTTAGGGGGTTAGCATTATGGTTATGTGATTAGCATTAGGTTTAGGCAGTGAGGCAGTTAGGGTTAGATTAGGGTTAGGTGGTTAGCGTTAGGGTTAGGTGATTAGCGTTAGGGTTAGGTGGTTAGCGTTAGGGTTAGGTGGTTAGCGTTAGGGTTAGGTGGTTAGCATTAGGGTTAGGTAATTAGCGTTAGGTGGTTAGCATTAGGGTTAGGTGATTAGCATTAGGGTTAGGTGGTTAGCGTTAGGGTTAGGGATAGGTGGTTAGTGTTATGGTTAGGTGGTTAGCATTTGGTTAGGTGGTTAGTGTTAGGGTTAGGTGGTTAGCGTTAGGGTTAGGTGGTTAGCGTTAGGTTTAGGTGGTTAGCGTTAGGGTTAGGTGGTTAGCGTTAGGGTTAGGTGGTTAGCATTATGGTTATGTGATTAGCATTAGGTTTAGGCAGTGAGGCAGTTAGGGTTAGATTAGGGTTAGGGTTAGGTGGTTAGCGTTAGGGTTAGGTGGTTAGCGTTAGGGTTAGGTGGTTAGCGTTAGGGTTAGGTGGTTATCATTATGGTTATGTGATTAGCATTAGGTTTAGGCAGTGAGGCAGTTAGGGTTAGATTAGGGTTAGGGTTAGGTGGTTAGCATTAGGGTTAGGTGGTTAGCATTAGGGTTAGGTGATTAGCGTTAGGGTTAGGTGGTTAGCGTTAGGGTTAGGGGGTTAGCATTATGGTTATGTGATTAGCATTAGGTTTAGGCAGTGAGGCAGTTAGGGTTAGATTAGGGTTAGGTGGTTAGCGTTAGGGTTAGGTGATTAGCGTTACGGTTAGGTGGTTAGCGTTAGGGTTAGGTGGTTAGCGTTAGGGTTAGGTGGTTAGCATTAGGGTTAGGTGGTTAGTGTTAGGGTTAGGTGGTTAGCATTAGGGTTAGGTAATTAGCGTTAGGTGGTTAGCATTAGGGTTAGGTGATTAGCATTAGGGTTAGGTGGTTAGCGTTAGGGTTAGGTGGTTAGCATTAGTGTTAGGTCATTAGCATTAGGTTTAGGCAGTGAGGCAGTTAGGGTTAGATTAGGGTTAGGGTTAGGTGGTTAGCGTTAGGGTTAGGTGGTTAGTGTTATGGTTAGGTGGTTAGCGTTAGGGTTAGGTGGTTAGCGTTAGGGTTAGCTGTTAGCGTTAGGGTTAGGTGGTTAGCGTTAGGGTTAGGTGGTTAGCGTTAGGGTTAGGTGGTTAGCGTTAGGGTTAGGTGGTTAGCATTTGGGTTAAGTGGTTAGCGTTAGGGTTAGGTGGTTAGCGTTAAGGTTAGGTGGTTAGCATTAGGGTTAGGTGGTTAGCGTTAGGTTAGGGTTAGGTGGTTAGCATTAGGGTTAGGTGATTAGCATTAGGTTTAGGCAGTGAGGCAGTTAGGGTTAGATTAGGGTTAGGGTTAGGTGGTTAGTGTTAGGGTTAGATGGTTAGCGTTAGGGTTAGGTGGTTAGCGTTAGGGTTAGGTGGTTAGCGTTAGGGTTAGGTGATTAGCATTAGGTTTAGGCAGTGAGGCAGTTAGGGTTAGATTAGGGTTAGGATTAGGTGGTTAGCATTAGGGTTAGGTGATTAGCATTAGGGTTAGGTGGTTAGCGTTAGGGTTAGGTGGTTAGGTGGTTAGCATTAGGGTTAGGTGGTTAGCATTAGGTTTAGGCAGTGAGGCAATTAGGGTTAGATTAGGGTTAGGATTAGGTGGTTAGCGTTAGGGTTAGGTGGTTAGCATTAGGGTTAGGTGGTTAGCGTTAGGGTTAGGTGGTTAGGTGGTTAGCATTAGGGTTAGGTGGTTAGCATTAGGGTTAGGTGGTTAGCATTAGGTTTAGGCAGTGAGGCAATTAGGGTTAGATTAGGGTTAGGATTAGGTGGTTAGCGTTAGGGTTAGGTGGTTAGTATTATGGTTAGGTGGTTAGCACTAGGGTTAGGTCGTTAGATTAGGTTTAGGCAGTGAGGCATTTAGGGTTAGATTAGGGTTAGGGTTATAACTCTACAGTTAGGGTTAAGGTCAGGAAACATTGAACTTACCGCCTCAGTGATGTCGATGTTGACCACGGCGGTAGTGCTGAAGGACGGAGATCCTCGGTCCCGGGCTTGGACCACCAGAGACCACCTGCAGTCCTTCTGCTTGGTGATGCTCTGCACTATATCCATGGACTTGATGTAGGACTTCAGGTTGATCTCTCCCGTCTCCGCGTTGATGTCGAAGATGTTGTCCGGGTCAGCTTGCATGATGGAATACTCAATAATGTTATTGGGCGACCCTGCATCGGCATCTATTGCCTAAATGAAAGAACGAAAAAGCAGCAAAACCAAACACATTATGTAAATACACTTTATTGGTTACTACATGATTCCATGTGTGTTATTTCATAGTTTTGATGTCTTCACTATTATTCTACAATGTAGAAAATCATAAAAATAAAGAAAAACCCTGGAATGAGTAGGTTTGTCCAAACTTTTGACTGGTACTTTATATATATACTGAAGAGGTTCTGGATACGCTCAGATTTTACACTTCAGGTAATTATCATCCAAGAAAGACAAAAATACAACATACAGTGTTAACCAGGGTTGTATCGATTCATACAGTGTTTACTAGAGTTGTAACGATTCATAAAGTGTTTACTAGGGTTGTAACGATTCATACAGTGTTTACTAGGGTTGTAACGATTCATACAGTGTTTACTAGGGTTGTACGATTCATACAGTGTTTACTAGGGTTGTAACAATTCATACAGTTTTACTAGGGGTTGTAACGATTCATACAGTGTTTACTAGGGTTGTAACGATTCATACAGTGTTTTACTAGGGTTGGAACCGATTCCTACAGTGTTTACTAGGGTTGTAACTATTCATATAGTGTTTACTAGGGTTGTAACGATTCATACAGTGTTTACTAGGGTTGTAACGATTCATACAGTGTTTACTAGGGTTGTAACGATTCATACAGTGTTTACTAGGGTTGTAACGATTCATACAGTGTTTACTAGGGTTGTAACGATTCATACAGTGTTTCTAGGGTTGTAACGATTCATACAGTGTTTACTAGGGGTTGTAACGATTCATACAGTTGTTTACTAGGGTTGTAACGATTCATCAGTGTTTACTAGGGTTGTAACGATTCTATAGTGTGTACTTAGGGTTGTAAACGATTCCATACCAGTGTTTACTAGGGGTTGTAACGATTCATACAGTATTTACTAGGGTTGTAACGATTCATACAGTGTTTACTAGGGTTGTAACGATTCATACAGTATTTACTAGGGTTGTAATGATTCGTACAGTGTTTACTAGGGTTGTAACGATTCATAAAGTGTTTACTAGGGTTGTAACGATTCATACAGTGTTTACTAGGATTGTAACGATTCATACAGTATTTACTAGGGTTGTAACGATTCATAAAGTGTTTACTAGGGTTGTAACGATTCATACAGTGTTTACTAGGGTTGTAACGATTCATACAGTGTTTACTAGGGTTGTAACGATTCATACAGTGTTTACTAGGGTTGTAACGATTCATACAGTGTTTACTAGGACCAAACCGGACCGATGGCCAGTGAACTGTTACACCCCTAGGGTACACCTCTACACACCACATGGCTACTGTACATACCTCCTTTAGGGATCTATAAAGTACTCTCATCTTATCTTATGGCTACTGTACATACCTCCTTTATGGATCTATAAAGTACTCTCATCTTATCTTATGGCTACTGTACATACCTCCTTTAGGAATCTAAAAGTTCTGTCATCTTATCTTATGGCTACTGTACATACCTCCTTTAGGGATCTATAAAGTACTCTCATCTTATCTTATGGCTACTGTAATACCTCCTTTAGGGATCTATAAAGTACTCACATTTATCTTATGGCTACGTACATACCTCCTTTTAGGGATCTATAAAGTACTCACATCTTATTCTTATGGCTACTGTACATACCTCCTTTAGGAATCTAAAAGTACTCACATCTTTATCTTATGGCTACAGTACATACCTCCTTTCAGGATCTATAAGTACTCACATCTTATCTTATGGCTACTGCATACCTCCTTTAGGAATCTAAAAGTTTCTGGTCATCTTATTTATGGCTACAGTACATACCTCCTTTAGGGGATCTATAAAGTACTCTCATCTTATCTTATGGCTACTGTACATACCTCCTTTAAGGATCTATAAAGTACTCACATCTTTATCTATGGCTACTGTAATACCTCCCTCCTTTAGGGATCTATAAAGTACTCTCATCTTATCTTATGGCTACTGTACATACCTCCTTTAGGAATCTAAAAGTACTCACATCTTATCTTATGGCTACAGTACATACCTCCTTTAGGGATCTATAAAGTACTCACATCTTATCTTATGGCTACTGTACATACCTCCTTTAGGAATCTAAAAGTTCTGTCATCTTATCTTATGGCTACAGTACATACCTCCTTTAGGGATCTATAAAGTACTCTCATCTTATCTTATGGCTACTGTACATACCTCCTTTAAGGATCTATAAAGTACTCACATCTTATCTTATGGCTACTGTACATACCTCCTTTAGGGATCTATAAAGTACTCTCATCTTATCTTATGGCTACTGTACATACAGTGAGTGGGAAAAGTATTTGATCACCTGCTGATTTTGTACGTTTGCCCACTGACAATGAAATGATCAGTCTATAATTTTAATGGTAGGTTTATTTGAACAGTGAGAGACAGAATAACAACAAAAAAATCCTGAAAAACGCATGTCAAAAATGTTAGAAATTGATTTGCATTTTATTGAGGGAAATAAGTATTTGACCCCCTCTCAATCAGAAAGATTTCTGGCTCCCAGGTGTCTTTTATACAGGTAACGAGCTGAGATTAGGAGCACACTCTTAAAGGGAGTGCTCCTAATCTCAGTTTGTCACCTGTATAAAAGACACCTGTCCACAGAAGCAATCAATCAATCAGATTCCAAACTCTCCACCATGGCCAAGACCAAAGAGCTCTCCAAGGATGTCAGGGACAAGATTGTAGACCTACACAAGGATGGAATGGGCTACAAGACCATCGCCAAGCAGCTTGGTGAGAAGGTGACAAATAACTGTCAATCTCCCTCGGCCTGGGGCTCCATGCAAGATCTCACCTCGTGGAGTTGCAATGATCATGAGAACGGTGAGGAATCAGCCCAGAACTCCACAGGAGGATCTTGTCAACGATCTCAAGGCAGCTGGGACCATAGTCACCAAGAAAACAATTGGTAACACACTACACCGTGAAGTCGCTCTGGATAAGAGCGTCTGCTAAATGACGTAAATGTAATGTAAATGTGAAGGACTGAAATCCTGCAGCGCCCGCAAGGTCCCCCTGCTCAAGAAAGCACATATACATGCCCGTCTGAAGTTTGCCAATGAACATCTGAATGATTCAGAGGAGAATTGGGTGAAATTGTTGTGGTCAGATGAGACCAAAATCAAGCTCTTTGGCATCAACTCAACTCGCCGTGTTTGGAGGAGGAGGAATGCTGCCTATGACCCCAAGAACACCCTCCCCACCGTCAAACATGGAGGTGGAAACATTATGCTTTGGGGGTGTTTTTCTGCTAAGGGGACAGGACAACTTCACCGCATCAAAGGGACGATGGACGGGGCCGTGTACCGTCAAATCTTGGTTGAGAACCTCCTTCCCTCAGCCAGGGCATTGAAAATGGGTCGTGGGTGGGTATTCCAGCATGACAATGACCCAAAACACACGGCCAAGGCAACAAAGGAGTGGCTCAAGAAGAAGCATATTAAAGGTCCTGGAGTGGCCTAGCCAGTCTCCAGACCTTAATCCCATATAAAATCTGTGGAGGGAGCTGAAGGTTCGAGTTGCCAAACGTCAGGCTCGAAACCTTAATGACTTGGAGAAGATCTGCAAAGAGGAGTGGGACAAAATCCCTCCTGAGATGTGTGCAAACCTGGTGGCCAACTACAAGAAACGTCTGACCTCTGTGATTGCCAACAAGGGTTTTGCCACCAAGTACTAAGTCATGTTTAGCAGAGGGGTCAAATACTTATTTTCCTCATTAAAATGCAAATCAATTTATAGCATTTTGACATGCGTTTTTCTGGATTTCTATGTTGTTATTCTGTCTCTCACTGTTCAAATAAACCTACCATTAAAATTATAGACTGATCATGTCTTTGTCAGTGGGCAAACGTACAAAATCAGCAGGGGATCAAATACTATTTTCCCTCACTGTACATCCATTAAGGATAAAAGAAGATAGCCCTATTTCGTAAAAGACCAAGTCCATATTATGGCAAGAACAGCTCAAATAAGCAAAGAGAAACGACAGTCCATCATTACTTTAAGACATAAAGGTCAGTCAATACGGAACATTTCAAGAACTTTGACAGTTTTTTTAAGTGCAGTCGCAAAAACCATCAAGCGCTATGGTGAAACTGGCTCTCATGAGGACCGCCACAGGATTGGAAGATCCAGAGTTACCTCTGCTGCAGACGATAAGTTCATTAGATTTATCTGCTTCAGAAATTGCAGCCCAAATAAATGCTTCACAGACTTCAAGTCACAGACACAATTCAACATCAACCGTTCAGAGGGGACTGTGTGAATCAGGCATTCATGGTCGAATTGCTGAAAAGAAACCACTACTAAAGAACACCAATAAGAAGAAGAGACCTGCTTGGGCCAAGAAACACGAGCAATGGACATTAGACCGGTGGAAATGTGTCCTTGGTCTGGAGTCCAAATTGGAGATTTTTGGTTCCAACCTCTGGTCTTTGTATGTATAGTTCCCACCGTAAAGCATGGAGGAGGAGGTGTTATGGTGTGGGGGTGCTTTGCTGGTGACACTGTCTGTGATTTATTTAGAATTCAAGGCTCAGTTAACCAGCATGGCTACCACAGCATTCTGCAGCGATACGCCATCCCATCTGGTTTGGGCTTAGTGGGACTATCATTTGTTTTTCAACAAGACAATGACCCAACACACCTCCAGGCTGTGTAAGGGCTATTTGACCAAGAAGGAGAGTGATGGAGTGCTGCATCAGAAGACATGGCCTCCACAACCACCCGGCCTCAACCCAATTGAGATGTTTTAGGATGAGTTGGAGGGCAGAGTGAAGGAAAAGCAGCCAACAAGTGCTCAGCATATGTGGGAACTCCTTCAAAACTTTTGGAAAAGCATTCTAGGTGAAGCCGGTTGATAGAATGCCAGGAGTGTGAAAAGCTGTCATCAAGGCAAAGGGTGGCTATTTGAAGAATTTTGATTTGTTTAACACTTTTCACTTTACTACATGATTCCATATGTGTTATTTCATAGTTTTGATGTCTTCACTATTATTCTACAATGTAAAGAAAGTAAAAATAAAGAAAAACCCTTGAATGAGTACGTGTGTCCAAACTTTTGACTCGTACTGTATATTTTTTACCCCCTTTTTCTCCTCCATTACGATCTCGTCTCATCGCTGCAACTCCCCAACGGGCTCGGGAGGCGAAGGTCGAGTCATGCGTCCTCCGAAACATGACCCGCCAAACCGTGCTTCTTAAAACCCGCCCACTTTACCCGGAAGCTAGCCGCACCAATGTGTCGGAGGAAACACCGTTCAACTGACGACCGAAGTCAGCCTGTAGGTGCCCGGCCCGCCACAAGGAGTCGCTAGAGCGTGATGAGCCAAGTAAAGCCCCCCCCCGGGCCAAACCCTCCCCTAACACGGACAACACTGGGCCAATTGTGCGCCGCCCCATGGGACTCCCGATCACGGCCGGTTGTGATACAGCCCGGGATCGAACCCGGGTCTGTAGTGACGCCTCTAGCACTGCGATGCAGTGCCTTAGACGGCTGCGCCACTCGGGAGGCCACTCTCCTCTTATCGTATGGCTACTGCACGTACCTCTACTCTAACAGGTGCGCCGATGACCATGGTCCTCTCCACAAGGCTGTTATCGAACTCTGGAACATGGTCGTTGACGTCCAGGACAGTGACAAACACCTCCGCCAGGCTGTACTTGCCCTCTGTGTCCTCTGCCTTCACGTAGAAGTTGTACTTGGACTTGACCTCAGCATCCAGAGTGGCCCAGTCCTGGGTGTAGATGATGCCTGAGGACGGGTGGATGAGAAATCTGGAAAACACAACAGAGAGAGCATTAAATTGGCAGTATATTGACAGTATATTAGTAGTATATTGGCAGTATATTGACAGTATGTTGGCTGTATGTTGGCTGTATGTTAGCATTATATTGGTAGTATTTTAGGAGTATATTGGTAATATATCGGCAGCATATTGACAGTATATTAGTAGTATATTGGCAGTATATTGACAGTATGGCAGTATATTGGCTGTTATGTTAAAGTGGCACATATTCAGCCATTTTCCATCATCTTCTTTTTACAACGTATTCCCTGTGAAAAATAACAAATACTAAGCAACTTGTAAACTTTCACACATTTATAATTTGACTTCCCGTGTCAAGACGGCAAGCAAAACTGGAAGATAAATTGACACTTTGTTTTTTCAATGTACTGCCTGTATTGCAGCCTGCCTGCCTGCCTTGCTTTCCATAGCAGAGCTCCAGCTGTCACATTGCATGTTAATTGTCCCTCTCTACATGAGACATCCAGTCCTGGCAGGCTATTTCTTACCCTACAATCCAATTACGAGATTAACCAGTCAGTATCATGCTGCCATTTTAGAGTAAGCTGTTACAGGATAGAGAGGAGCTACCATCTACCAGCAGATCCAATATACTGGGATACTTGCTGTTCCCATCTTCCAATCAAAGGGGAAGAATCTAAGTTGAGCGATTTCTTATTTTACTTTTCCTGTTGAAAAACAATATACCACGTATAAATACAGTGATGTACACACACTTAAGGGTAGAAAAGGAATGTTATGTAATGACCCAATATAAAGACTCGTCTGTCCCAACGCATAACCAGACATTACAAATAATTATATTGCATAAGTGATGATGTTATGTAATGACCCCATATAAAGAATCATCTGTCCCAATGGATAACCGGACATTACAAATAATGATATTGTATAAGTGATAATTTTTGCTGATTTTGGTCTGTTCAACTGACTCCACATCAACCGAGGAAGAGATTTTACACAGATGATCATGTCCAACAGTCATTGGTATTGGCAGGACTGTACTGTACTTACAAATCAGATCTGGATCCATAGATGGAGTACTTGACTTCACCCCAAAGGCCAGAGTCTGGATCATTGGCCTGGAACGCAACCGAGAGAAAGGGAGTTAGAATACTGGAACGGAACATAGAGTAGACTAGAGGATAGAAGTTAGAATGCTGGTAGAATACTGGAACGGAACATAGAGGATACAGTAGAAGTTAGAATGCTGGTAGAATACTGGAACGGAACATAGAGGATACAGTAGAAATTAGAATGCTGGTAGAATACTGGAACGGAACATAGAGGATACAGTAGAAGTTAGAATGCTGGTAGAATACTGGAACGGAACATAGAGGATACAGTAGAAGTTAGAATGCTGGTAGAATACTGGAACGGAACATAGAGGATACAGTAGAAGTTAGAATGCTGGTAGAATACTGGAACGGAACATAGAGGATACAGTAGAAGTTAGAATGCTGGTAGAATACTGGAACGGAACATAGAGGATACAGTAGAAGTTAGAATGCTGGTAGAATACTGGAACGGAACATAGAGGATACAGTAGAAGTTAGAATGCTGGTAGAATACTGGAACGGAACATAGAGGATACAGTAGAAGTTAGAATGCTGGTAGAATACTGGAACGGAACATAGAGGATACAGTAGAAGTTAGAATGCTGGTAGAATACTGGAACGGAACATAGAGGATACAGTAGAAGTTAGAATGCTGGTAGAATACTGGAACGGAACATAGAGGATACAGTAGAAGTTAGAATAATGGAACGGAACATAGAGGATACAGTAGAAGTTAGAATGCTGGTAGAATACTGGAACGGAACATAGAGGATACAGTAGAAGTTAGAATGCTGGTAGAATACTGGAACGGAACATAGAGGATACAGTAGAAGTTAGAATGCTGGTAGAATACTGGAACGGAACATAGAGGATACAGTAGAAGTTAGAATGCTGGTAGAATACTGGAACGGAACATAGAGGATACAGTAGAAGTTAGAATGCTGGTAGAATACTGGAACGGAACATAGAGGAGAGGAGTTAGAATGTTGGTACTTATGCACGTCAAGCTCACAAGCATTTCCGGCCTCTTCAAAAATAATGTAATCGGACCGGAAATAAACACTTATCAAACATTTGATTTATCCATAATTAATACATAACCATATTATGGTATCCATTTAATTATATTATTATTATCAATATCAATAATAATAATAACAACAATGTCCATATTAATATTATTAAACATTTATTTTTTGTGGACAATATTGTTGAGTAGGGAGTCCATTGGGACTCAACTCCTGAGAGAAGGTCATACAATGACTATCCATTAGCTGATTGGAACAGTCTGAGGATAACCCACTAGGGAGGATGTTACTCTAAGCTCATGCACAACGTTTGGGGGATTTCACCCCGGCAGGGGCTGTCTACTAGGCTCTATCCCATTCCCTGGGGTGAATAGCACACAGCCACAGGGTAAAGGCCAATATGATTAACCCCCCAAAGGATTGGTTCCATCTCACCAACTCGAATTCCTGCTGAACATTTTCTACTAGTAATATACCAGTATAAATACCACTGGTATGGAAGCAGATTCATGACAAAATAAATAATAGTCCAATATTAACTTTATTTCAACATTGTTATCATTGTTGTTTCAATACTTTTATTTGTATTTCTTTTGGAATGAATCTGGTTACATAGTTTATGTTTACATTTGAGTCATCTAGCAGATGCTCTTATCTAGATCGACTTACAGTCAGTGCATTCATCTTAAAACAGCTAGTTGAGTACTGTATGGAGAACATAGGATGTCACTACTGATCAATATCAACATTCAGTGACACTATGCTGCAGGTAAATCCTCCAAGTGTTACCTCTCTCTCCTGGCAAAATATCACATGTTGTGGAAATCCTCCAAGCTGGAAAATCCCTGCTTCCTTTCAGCTTCCAATTAACCCTAACCATTAATATCCATCTATCGGTGGATTATTGTTGGGAGATTACATAATCATGTTTTGCTGGTAGTGGTGTTTGAGTAGAGTTGAATAATCCAGATGTACTCACGGTGACAGACACTACGTTGGAGCCTCCGGGGGAGTTTTCCGGGATACGTGCGATGTAATACTGAGAGGTGAACCTGGGAGTGTTGTCGTTGGTGTCCAAAAGATGAATCACAATATCAGCCGTCGCACTGAACCTCTCAGGGGTGTCAATCTCCACCGCTAGCAACTGTGGTGGAGGAAAAATACATGTCAAATCCATCAAATACTATGTCTGCTGTTGTACTATAGTAACAAAATATATATTATGGAATGAGCATGGCGATTGCAATGCCAGGGTTGTGGGTTGGACTCCCTGTGGGACCAACCATTTAAAAAATATATATGCAAGCATTACTGTAAGTCACTTTGGATAAAAGTCTGCTAACGTATTATTAGATTATATTAAGTAACTCATAGATTATGAATGTATAATTACCATTGTAATTTCTTCCAGTATAAATACCTGGTAATTTCTGTACCATTTTATAATAAAGTAAAACCAAATCCGTTTTACATTGTCCCTCCTAGGATCAAATATTTGATATTCCAGTTAGTCATAAGTGCAGCTGAAGACGGTCTGAAATACCTTGTATGTTAAGGATTTGCCTTTTTCGTAGTCGATGGCATCAGAGTCTTCAACGATGATGGTGACCTGTGCTTCATTGAGGACCGTCTGGGGCACCACTCTGAGTACACGACCAGGCCCCACCAATCTCAGTATAAATTTAGCATTCGCCCCCTGTCAGAGAAAACACACACACCTACATGAGGCTGCCATCGATGACAACATTCATGGCAATTACCAGGACCTCTGACCTCTGTCTGACAACAGTAACTTAAATTTAGCCAATGGGCTGAGGGGGGAAAACTGTCAATGGATACAAGTGTTTTCTGGGAACATTGACATGATGATAATGATTAGCTGAATAGGGGATTATGACATTTATTTCTAAAATGGGGTTACGTCATGTGACATACTGTCAACATACTGTTTTGGGAGGATTAAAGAAAGAATCCTTTACGAAATGTAGATAAAGAAATGTTTAGGGCCAAACGCATCACATGATTTGCCTTCAGAAATCAACCAGCAACCATGAATAAAACACAAATGGATTGTAGCACCATAGTCATGGTTGGATATATCAATACCTTAGTATCAGTCAAGTGTTTAGAGGTTAGGGTTACACAGGCTCAAGGCCTATCACAAAGCATAAGGAATAGTTTCCATGAGAGTCAGAGGGGAAATAGGAGCAGGAATAGTCTCTGGCTGTATGATACCCTATCCCATACAGCGCACTACCTTTCATCAGGGCCCAAAGGGGTGTGGTCAAAAGTGATACACCATAAAGGTAATGGGGTGATATAGTGTGATAGGGTAATGGGGTGATATAGTAGGGATAGGGTAAATATAGTGTGATAGGGTAATGGGGTGATATCGTATGATAGGGTAATGGGGGTGGATATAGTGTGATAGGGTAATGGGGGTGATATAGTATGATAGGGTAATGGGGTAGGGTAATGGGTTTAGTATTGGTCTATCGTGTGTGGGTATGGGGTGATCGTGTGTGGATTATCTCTGGGGGTGATTCGTGTAGGGTATTGGGTGATATAGTGTGATAGGGTAATGGGGTGATAGGGTAATGGGGGTGATATAGTGTGATAGGGTACTGGGGGTGATATAGTGTGATAGGGTAATGGGGTGATACAGTGTGATAGGGTAATGGGTGATACAGTGTGATAGGGTAATGGGGTGGGTGATATAGTGTGATATGGTAATGGGTGATATAGTGTGATAGGGTAATGGGGGTGATATAGTGTGATAGGGTAATGGGGGTGATATAGTGTGATAGGGTAATGGGGTGATATAGTGTGATAGGGTAATGGGGTGATATAGTGTGATAGGGTAATGGGTGATATAGTGTGATAGGGTAATGGGGGTGATACAGTGTGATAGGGTAATGGGGGTGATATAGTGTGATATGGTAATGGGTGATATAGTGTAATAGGGTAATGGGGGTGATACAGTGTGATAGGGTAATGGGGTGATATCGTATGATAGGGTAATGGGGGTGATACAGTGTGATAGGGTAATGGGGTGATATCGTATGATAGGGTAATGGGGGTGATATAGTGTGATAGGGTAATGGGGTGATATAGTATGATAGGGTAATGGGGTGATATAGTATGATAGGGTAATGGGGTGATATAGTGTGATAGGGTATAGGTTGCATATAGTATGATGGGTAATGGGGTGTATGGGTGCTGGGTAATGGGGGGGATATGTGTGATCTGGTCTGGGTGAGTGTTGTTGATGGTATGGGGGTGTCTGTGTGTCGGTATCTTGTGTCGGGTCCTGGGTGTATCAGTGTGATGGGTCCTGGGGGGTGTCGGGTCTGGGGTGGGGTTATTGTGCTGGGTCCTGGGGGTGCTCTCGTGTGATGGGTATGGGGTGCTCTGTTTGGGCATGGGGTGTATGGTGTGATGGTATGGGGGTGATATGTGTGCTAGGGTCTGGGGTTTGTTGTTTTGTGGGTCTGGGGTGCTCTCGTGTGTCGGGTACTGGGGGCTCTCGTGTGCTGGGTCCTGGGGGGTGTAGGTTGGGGGCTGTGGTGTCTGTGTGCTTGGTCTGGGTGCTCTGTGTGCTCGGGTCCTGGGGGGTGATCTTGTGTGTAGGGTCCTGGGGTGCTCTGTGTGATTGGTCCGGGTGTCCGTGTTGGGTCATGGGGGTTTACGTGTGTAGGGTTTGGGTGTGGATTTTTAGGGTAATGGGGTGTGGGTATCGTGATATCGGTAATGGGTTGGGGGTGATACTGTGATAGGGTTGGGGGTGATATCGTATGATAGGGTAATTGGGGGGTGATCAGTGTGATAGGGTAATGGGGGTGATATAGTATGATAGGGTAATGGGGTTGTGGCTGTATGTATGGTCATGGGGTGATATGTGTGATAGGGTAACTAGGGTGCTATGTATGATAGGGTAATGTGGATTGTTGTGTGTGGTAATGGGGTGCTATCGTGTGCTGGGGTCCTGGGCGTTGTTGTATGCTCGGGTATGGGGGTGTATGTGTGATCGGGTACTTGTGTGATGGTCTGGGGGTGACTCTCAGTGTTGTAGGGTGGGTTGCTCGGTCGGTCTTGTTGCTGGGTCAATTGGGGGTGGCTTCGTGTGTGCTCGGGTCTGGTGGTTCTTGTTGCTCGGGTCATGGGGTGATCTCGTTGTAGGGTCTGGGGGTGCTATCGTTGCTAGGGTAACTGGGTGTATCGTGTTAGGTGGGTACTTGGGTTCTGTGTGTCGTGGTACTGGGGTGATACTAGTGTGATGGGTCTGGGTGCTCTCGTGGATCGGGTACTGGGGTGATATCAGTTGTGGGTCTGGGGTGTTCGTGTGTGGGTAATGGGGTGCTCTAGTTGTTGGGTCTATCGTTGGATCGGGTATGGGGTGGCTGTCGTGTGATGGGGTCCTGGGGTATCTCGTGTGTCGGGTAAGGGGTGATTCGTGTGATCGGTTCCTGGGGGTGCTATAGTTGATAGGGTCTGGGGTTTTTCGTTTGATAGGGTAATGGGGTGATTTGTGATGGGTTGGGGGTGATTGTGTGTGGGTAATGGGGGTGTATAGTGTGATAGGGTAATGGGGTGTATCGTTGTCGGGTAATGGGGTGATATCGTATGATACGGGTATTGGGGTGATATAGTCTGTATAGGTATGGGGTGATATAGTGTGCTAGGGTAATGGGGTGATATAGTATGATAGGGTAATGGGGGTGATCTAGTGTGTGGGTCTGGGGTGTCTGTGTGCTAGGGTACTGGGGGTGATATGTATGCTAGGGTACGGGGGTGACTTTGATGGGGCATGGGGTGCTCTCGTGTGCTCGGGTCCTGGGGTGCTCGTTTTGCTAGGGTACTGGGGGTGGGTTCGTGTATGGGTCTGGGTTGTCTGATCTGCTAGGGTACTGTGGTTGCTCTATGGGCTCGGGGGTTCCTGGGGGTGATCTCGTTGCTCGGGTCTGGGGGTGTCTACGTGTATGGGTCCTGGGGGTGCTATCGTGTGCTCGTAGGGTTGGGTGCTGTTTGCTCGGATCCTGGGGTGCTCTTGTGCTCGGTCGCTGGGTGCTTACTCGTTGGCTCGGGTCCTGGGTGTCTCTCGTGCGCTGGGTCCTGGGGTCTCTCCGATTGTGCTCGGCTCATGGGGTGCTCTCGTGTGCTGGGTCTGGGGGTGCTCTCGTGTGCTCGGGTCCTGGGGGTGCTCTGTGTGCTCGGGTCCTGGGGTGATCTCGTGTCTCGGGTCCTGGGGGTGCTCTCGTTTGCTCGGGTCCTGGGGTGCTCTCGTCTGCTCGGGTCTGGGGGTGCTACTCGTGTGCTGGGTCCATGGGGGTGCTCTAGTGGTGCTGGGTCCTGGGGTGCTCTCTTCTGACTCGGGTCCTGGGGTGCCTCGTGTGTCTCGGTCCTGGGGGGTGTCTCGTGTGCTCGGGTACCTGGGGTGCTCTCGTGTAGATCCGGGTATGGGTGTCTCGTGTGCTGGGTACATGGGGTGCTCTCGTGTGCTCAGGGTCCTGGGTGTCTAGTTCTCGGTGTACTGGGGGTGACTACTGTGGCATCGGGTCTGGGTCGCTCTGTTGCTGGGTCCTGGGGTGCTCTATTGATCGGGTCTGGGGTGCTATCGTGTGATCGGGTCCTGGGGTGATATCGTGTGATAGGGTAATGGGGTGATATCGTGTGATAGGGTAATGGGGTGATATCGTGTGATAGGGTAATGGGGTGATATCGTGTGATAGGGTAATGGGGTGATCGTGTGATAGGGTAATGGGGTGCTATCGTGTGTAGGGTATGGGGGTGATATAGTGTGATCGGGTCCGGGGGGTGCTATGTCTGATCGGGGTAATGGGGTGATATCGTGTGATGGGTACTGGGGTGATATCGTGTTGATAGGGTAATGGGGTGATATCGTGTGATAGGGTAATGGGGTGATATCGTGTGATAGGGTAATGAGGTGATATAATATAGGGCTCTGGTCAAAAGTAGTGCACTATATAGGGAAGAGGGTGCGATTTGGGATACAGAGTCTGCCTTCCAGTACCTGATCAGAGTCGTTAACCGTTATCTTCAGCCCCCTGAGGATCTCCCCCTCTGGAGGATGCTCATACATGGTCACCTGAAACTGGCTCTGGGGTCCGTTCTCTCCGTAGAAGGTAGGAGGGTGGTTGTTGAGGTCCACCACTCGAACCGTCACCACAGTCATGGTATAGTAGTCCAACAGCTCCTCACTAGGCCCCAGCTCAGTGGCCTGAGACAGACAGACAGACAGACAGACAGACAGAGAGAGAGAGAGAGAGAGAGAGAGAGAGAACGATAGAGAGAGAGAGACAGAGAATGGGCACGCGCGAGAGAGAGAGAGAGAGAGAGAGAGAGAGACAGAGAATGGGCACGAGAGAGAGAGAGAGAGAGAGAGAACGATAGAGAGAGAGAGAAGGAGAGAGAGAGAGAGACAGAGAATGGGCACGAGAGAGAGAGAGAGAGAGAGAGAGAGACAGAGAGAGACACAGAGAGAGAGAGAGAGAGAACGATAGAGAGAGAGAGAAGGAGAGAGAGAGAGAGAGACAGAGAATGGGTGCGCGCGCGAGAGAGAGAGAGAAAAAAATGTAATGACGTAGAAATAACAACGTAATAACCGGAAAAAGAAAAGGCTTCTTACCTTGACATTGATTTCATATAATTCATTCCTCAGCGTGACTGGATAAGCTGTTAGGCTGATACAACCACTTGTGCTGTTGATGGTGAAGACACCCTCACTACCTGAAGAAGGAGAAGGGAAAGTGTGTGAAGGTGGTGCGTGAATCATGACATATACAGAAATCACTATATCTGTGAAACCGTAGACAAACACACTGTTGACAATGATTATTATCAGTTTGTGAAGAAATAGCTTTGTAGTGTGTTGTGTGTGTGTGTGTGTGTGTGTGTGTGTGTGTGCGTGTTTATAACTTACCATTGGTAATGGAATAATGAATAGGATTAGGGTTTCCTTCATCTCCATCTTTGGCAAACACAGTGGATATTTCAGAACCCTGCAAATTCACATTATTAATCATAAAGCAATGGCTTGCAAAAGTTACCAAAAAAAGCACTGGAACATATGTCAATACGGAAAGAAGTTATTCTAAATAATTTAATTACAATTTAAATATCATAAAGAAATGGCTTAAAAATATCTTATATAAAAAGTACTGGAACGTAAAATATATATACAGCAGTATGTGGACACCCCTTCAAATTAGTGGATTCGGCTATTTCAGCCACACCCGTTGCTGACAGATGTATAAAATCGAGCACACAGCCATGCAATCTCCATAGCTAATTTCCATAGCCATAGAGCTCAGTGACTTTCAACGTGGCACCGTCATAGGATGTCACCTTTCCAACAAGTCAGTTCGTCAAATTTCTGCCCTGCTAGAGCTGCCCCGGTCAACTGTAAGTGCTGTTATTGTGAAGTGGAAACGTCTAGGAGCAACAACGGCTCAGCCGCGAAGTGGTAGGCCAGACAAGCTCACAGAACGGGACCGCAGAGTGTTGAAGCGCGTAAAAATCATCTGTCCTTGGTTGCAACACTCACTACCTAGTTCCAAACTGCCGCTGGAAGCAACGACAGCACAAGAACTGTTCATCGGGAGCTTCATGAAATGGGTTTCCATGGCCGAGCAGCCGCACACAAGCCTAAGATCACAATGTGCAATGCCAAGCGGCAGCTGGAGTGGTGTAAAGCTCGCCGCCATTGGACTCTGGAGCAGTGGAAATGCGTTCTCTGGAGTGATGAATCACGCTTCACCATCTGGCAGTCCGGACTAATCTGGGTTTAGCGGATGCCAGGAAAACGCTACCTGCCCGAATTCATAGGAGGAGGAATAATGGTCTGGGGCTGTTTTTCATTTCGGTTCGGTTTAGGCCCCTTAGTTCTAGTGAAGGGAAATATTAACGCTACATCATACAATGACATTCAAGACGATTCTGTACTTCCAATTTTGTGGCAATGGTTTGTGGAAGGCCCTTTCCTGTTTCAGCATGACAATGCCCCTGTGCACAAAGCGAGGTCCATACAGAAATGTTTTGTTGAGATCGGTGTGGAAAAACTTGACTGGCCTGCAAAGAGCCCCGACCTCAACCCCATCAAACACCTTTGGGAATGAATTGGAACACCGACTGCGAGCCAGGCCTAATCGTCCAACATCAGTGCCCGACCTCACTAATGCTCTTGTGGCTGAATGGAAGCAAGTCTCCGCAGCAATGTTCCAACATCTAGTGGAAAAGCCTTCCCAGAAGAGTGGAGGCTGTTATAGCAGCAAAGAGGAGGACCAACTCCATATTAATGCCCATGATTTTGGAATGAGATGTTCGACGAGCAGGTGTCCACATACTTGAATAACAATGTATTGATCATAGAGAAATGGCTTGCAAAACTTCCCAAAAGTTCAAAAAAAATAAAATGTTACAGCTTCTTTTAAAACAGGGACTATGTTTTAAAGACCAGATGATCATCCGGCTGTGTTGTGCTTACAGGAACCGAGACCTCGTAGACATAGCCAACGTAAGGAGTTCCGATGAAGGATGGAGGGGTGTCTTGGGCGTCGAGGACGTTGATGGTTATGGTGGCCGTAGATGTCAACACCTGGGCCTTTCCTTTATACTGTCCACCTCCATCCTGACGAATACAACAGAAGGTTAGACATTGGACATGACCAAATTATGACTGGCTGTGTAGTGCTGATGTCATGTGCTAAAATCACTATTGTGAAGCAACAGTACTTTGCATTAGTTGACACTCTGTGTAAAGGATGTAACGGTGTTTAATAGCGAGGAGTACCAACATCCTCCTGATCTGCTCATCCAGAGACTCCATCCCGCTAATGAAAAATACCCTCTTCAATGGCGCAAGTGGCGATACTTCAGGCTGAGGAGTGAGTTGTCACAGATCCCCATCTGCTACAAATGCACCATGTAAATTTAATCTGCTTTCTACGTGTGTGTGTGAACTTGTTAATCATGCTTCCATGAAAATGCACACTTAACATACAGTAAAGGCCTTGTGTTGTTGTTTACAAACATCCTGTCGGAAAAAAAAACATGCTCCGTCACCCGAGACAATTAGTCAATCAACTGCCATGTGCTGGGGTCAAGGGTCGAGTTGAAGTGTGGCCTTGGGTAATCAGGGCTGACCCTCCCCAAGAGCTTAGAGACGGACACAGGGATGGAGGAGAGGAGCTGACCCTACCCAAGAGCTTAGAGACAGACACAGGGATGGAGGAGAGGAGCTGACCCTACCCAAGAGCTTAGAGACAGACACAGGGATGGAGGAGAGGAGCTGACCCTCCCCAAGAGCTTAGAGACGGACACAGGGATGGAGGAGAGGAGCTGACCCTACCCAAGAGCTTAGAGACAGACACAGGGATGGAGGAGAGGAGCTGACCCTCCCCAAGAGCTTAGAGACGGACACAGGGATGGAGGAGAGGAGCTGACCCTCCCTCCATCTAAAGCCCAGAGACAGGGCCAGAAGATATCAGCAGCCACAGACCAGACAGGGGTGACACACTCTGAGCTCTTTGGGTTTTTAGGCCTTGGTATCTATAAAGCACTTTGTGACCAACTGCTGATGTAAAAAGGGCTTCAATATTTTGTGGTGGATTAATTGATTGATGGATTGATTGACACATAGCTAGCCTACGTCTCACCTTGGCAACCACCGTCACAAAGTGTGTTGCTGTGGTCTCGTAGTCGAGCGTCTCGCCTGGTTTTATCCGCAGGACCCCACTGTGGCCGTCGATGGTGAACTTGGTAGTGCCCTGTGAACAGACTCAGGGTCATCAGTAAAAACCCTTAATTATGATCATGTAGACTGAGATCTAGACTTAACTAGATGTAACTAATCACACTATCCATTCAGTGACTAACATTCACACATCAAACATTCACACATCAAACCCAACCAATACCACATCACACATCAAACCAACCAATACCACTTCACACATCAAACATTCACACATCAAACCCAACCAATACCACTTCACACATCAAACCAACCAATCCATTTCACACATTAAACCAACCAATACCACTTCAAACATCAAACCAACCAATACCATTTCACACATCAAACCAACCAATACCATTTCACACATCAAACCAACCAATACCACTTCACACATCAAACCAACCAATACCACTTCACACATGAAACCAACCAATACCACTTCACACATCAAACCAACCAATACCACTTCACACATGAAACCAATCAATACCACTTCACACATCAAACCAACCAATACCACTTCACACATCAAACCAAGCCTAAAGATGGCTAAAACAACCAACAACAGACGACATATTGTCACGATCGTCTGGGTAAGGAGTAGACCAATACGCAGCGTGTTGAGCGAACATGATTGACTTTATTAACTAACGCACAAAAACCAAAACAATAGACGACTCGTGAAGTCCACAGTAACAATGACCGTAAAGGAACAAAAACCCACAAACCCAAAGTGAAACACAGACAGTTAAATATGGCTCCCAATCAGAGACAACCAGCAAACAGCTGACACTCGTTGCCTCTGATTGGGAGTCACTCAGTCACACATAGAAATGAACACAACAGAAATACCAACATAGAAATACACCCAATGAATGAACACACCCTGGCTCAACATAATGAGTCCCAGAACCAGGGTGTGACACATATGAACAGTGCCAACTACTGTTTGCTTGCTGATGGCCAAAAGATACCCTCAACTTCAGCTAAGCCCTCAATACCTTGCTGAAATGTAATTGAAATGTAATCCACTAAAGGGGCACCATTTCCTGCCTCCACTAAAATTAATCGCTTCCATCCTGTTCTTATCAAAGACATGCCCTTACCATCCATCTGGTCATTGGACACCGAACAAAAATATAAACGCAACATGCAACAATTTCAAAGATTTTACTGAGTTACAGTTCATATAAAGAAATACATAGATTAGGCCCTAATCTATGGATTTCACGACTGGGAATACAGTTATGCATCTGCTGGTCACAGATACCTTTTTTTAGAAAAGGTAGGGGCGTGGATCAGAAAACCAGTCAGTATCTGGTGTGACCACCATTTGCCTCATGCAGCACGACACATCTCCTTCGCATAGAGTTGATCAGGCTGTTGATTGTGGCCTGTTGAATGTTGTCAAAAACTCTGCTTCACAACGTTGACATCAGCAAATCGCTCGCCCACACGACGCCATACATGCTGTCTGCCATCTGAACCGGTACAGTTGAAACCGGGATTCATCCGTTGAAGAGCACACTTCTCCAGCATGCCAGTGGTCCATCGAAGGTGAGCATTTGCCCACTGAAGTCAGTTAACGACGCCGAACTGCAGTCAGGTCAAGACCCTGGTGAGGATGACGAGCACACAGATGAACTTCCCTGAGACGGTTTCTGACAGTTTGTGCCAGTTTCATCAGCTGTCCAGGTGGCTGGTCTCAGACAATCCCGCAGGTGAAGAAGCCGGATGTGGAGGTCCTGGGCTGGCGGCTGGCTAGCAGCAGACGACCACACCAGGTTCCATCCCTTTCAGCTACAAACAAGAAGAAGCGGCTCCAGTGGGCACACGATCACCAACACTGGACAATTAAGGCATGGAAAAACATCACCTGATCTGACGAATCAAGGTTCCTGTTGCGTCATGCTGATGGCAGAGTCAGGATTTGGCGTAAGCAGCATGAGTCCATGGCCCCATCCTGCCTGGTGTCAACGGTACAGGCTGGTGGCGGTGGTGTAATGAAACACACTCCTGAAACACGTTAGGTCTCTTGATAACAATTGAGCAACGTTTGAAACGCCACATCTTGTAGAATCCATGCCCCAAAGAATTCAGGTTGTTCTGGAGGCAAAGGGGGGTCCGACCCGGTACTAGATGGGTGTACCTAATAAACTGGCCACTGAGTGTAAATTATATATACAGTATCTATATCTATATATATATATATATATATATATATATATATATATATATATATATATATATATATATATATATATTATCTACAGTATGACAATGGATCCCCCATATAGACTGAGTAACCTTTGATCTAACTCTGAACTCTCTGTCAGACCAGGACATTGTTCATTAGGGCAAACTGTCGCAAAATGTTTTGCTACGTAAAGCAAAAATGTGCCTTCTTTTATTTGACAACTTCGGATAGTCAACTTCCTGTTTCAGTCCATTTTCTTCTATTTATGAGCCAGACCCAGGGGTGTGGACATTATCCCAGGGGTGTGGACATTATCCCAGGGGCGTGAACATTATCCCAGGGGCGTGGACATTATCCCAGGGGTGTGGACATTATCCCAGGGGTGTGGACATTATCCCAGGGGCGTGGACATTATCCCAGGGCGTGGACATTATCCCAGGGGTGTGGACATTATCCCAGGGGCGTGGACATTATCCCAGGGGCGTGGACATTATCCCAGGGGTGTGGACATTATCCCAGGGGTGTGGACATTATCTACCTGTAAGTAGTAGGTGACACTGCCTCCAGAGCCCATATCTTTATCCACTGCTTGCACTCTGTAAATGCTGCTTCCAGCTGCGGTGTCCTGCAGACGACACAAACATCAGTGACATTAAGTGTAACATATTGCCTGTGCGCTCATCTACTACTAGAACTCTGCTAGAGCTCTAACAACAGGAATACACAACAACAATCTTTACTTGCCGACATGTCATACAGGCCCCAGGGGGGTATCACTAAACACAAACAGTATGCCATATTGACATCTATCATTATCTTTAAACACATGATACCAATATTGACATCTATCATTATCTTTAAACACATGATACCAATATTGACATCTATCATTATCTTTAAACACATGATACCAATATTGACATCTATCATTATCTTTAAACACATGATACCAATATTGACATCTATTATTATCTTTAAACATTATCTCTAAACACATGATAACAATATTGACATCTATTATTATCTCTAAACACATGATACCAATATTGACATCTATTATTATCTTTAAACATTATCTCTAAACCCATGATACCAATATTGACATCTATTATTATCTTTAACATCTCTAACACATGATAACAATATTGACATCTATCATTATCTTGAGGCATTATCTCTAAACACATGATACCAATATTGACATCTATTATTATCTTTAAACATTATCTCTAAACACATGATAACAATGTTGACATCTATCATTATCTTTAGGCATTATCTCTAAACACATGATATCAATATTGACATCTACAGTGGCTTGCGAAAGTATTCACCCCTCTTGGCATTTTGTTGCCTTACAACCTGGAATTAAAATGGATTTTGGGGGGGTTTTGTAACATTTTATTTACACAACATGCCTACCACTTTGAAGATGCAAATTATTTTTTATTGTGAAACAAACAACAAATAAGACAATTAAACAAACTTGAGCGTGCATAACTATTCACCCCCCCCAAAGTCAATACTTTGTAGAGCCACCTTTTGCAGCAATTACAGCTGCAAGTCTCTTGGGGTATGTCTCTATAAGCTTGGCACATCTAGCCACTGGGATTGTTGCCCATTCTTCAAGGAAAAAGTGCTCCAGCTCCTTCAAGTTGGATGGGTTCCGCTGGTGTACAGCAATCTTTAAGTCATACCACAGATTCTCAATTGGATTGAGGTTTGGGCTTTGACTAGGCCATTCCAAGACATTTAAATGTTTCCCCTTAAACCACTCGAGCGTTGCTTTAGCAGTATGCTTAGGGTCATTGTCCTGCTGGAAGGTGAACCTCTGTCCCAGTCTCAAATCTCCGGAAGACTGAAACAGGTTTCAATTTTGACCAGTTTCTCAGACCCTGCAGATGAAAAACATCCCCACAGCATGATGCTGCCACCACCATCCTTCACTGTGGGGATGGTGTTCTCGGGGTGATGAGAGGTGTTGGGTTTGCGCCAGACATAGCATTTTCCTTGAAGGCCAAAAAGCTAAATTTTTGTCTCATCTGACCAGAGTACCTTTTTCCATATGTTCTGGGAGTCTCCCACATGCCTTTTGGCGTACACCAAACGTTTGCTTATTTTTTTCTTTAGCAATGGCTTTTTTCTGGCCACCCTTCCGTAAAGCCCAGCTCTGTGGAGTGTACGGCTTAAAGTGGTCCTATGGACAGATACTCCAATCTCCGCTGTGGAGCTTTGCAGCTCCTTCAGGGTTATCTTTGGTCTCTTTGTTGCCTCTCTGATTAATGCCCTCCTTGCCTGGTCTGTGAGTTTTGGTGGACGGCCCTCTATTGGCAGGATTGTTGTGGTGCCATATTCTTTCCATTTTTTAATAATGGATTTAAATGGTGCTCCGTGGGATGTTCAAAGTTTCTGATATTTTTTTATAACCCATCCCTGATCTGTAGTTCTCCACAACTTTGTCCCTGACCTGTTTGGAGAGCTCCTTGGTCTTCATGATGCCGCTTGCTTGGTGGTGCCCCTTGCTTAGTGGTGTTGCAGACTCTGGGGCCTTTCAGAACAGGTGTATATATACTGAGATCATGTGACAGATCATGTGACACTTAGATTGCACACAGGTGGACTTTATTTAACTAATTAAGTGACTTCTGAAGGTAATTGGTTGCACCAGATCTTATTTAGGGGTTTCATAGCATACATATGAAACAAGTAATTTTTTGAAACAAGTAATTATTTTCATTTCACTTCACCAATTTGGACTATTTTGTGTATGTCCATTACATTAAATCCAAATAAAAATCAATTTAAATCACAGGTTGTAATGCAACAAAATAGGAAAAACGCCAAGGGGGATGAATACTTTTGCAAGGCACTGTATCATTATCTTTAAGCATTATCTCTAAACACATGATACCAATATTGACATCTATAATTACCTTTAAACATTATCTCTAAAGACATTTTAAACCAATGACAGAGCTGTCTTTATGGTGATGAGAGTTTAACACTGACCTCGGGGACGTCTACGGTGAAAGGCAGGTTCAGAAACTCTGGTTGCTCATCATTGGCATCGGTGACAAACACCTGTATGCTCTCGACAACCTAAAGGAAGGAACAAACAGATGACATCAGAATACAACAGCCCAGCTGAGAAGCCAGGTATGATTATTGTGTTAGTATATAGGCCTATACATGTGATGCATATTGATTTGACAACTAATGTTGTTGTCAAAGCTCAGCTCACCTTATTCCGACCATCTGTTATGCTAACAAAAGCTGAGATTTCACTTTGTTTCTGACAAAACAAAGAACACTTTGTTAACAGCACTCTAAACAACACTGGGGGTAATGATTGTCTCTGGTGACAGACTCACCAACACACACAATATTTGGTTCTGGGCTCCTGAGATTACTGGACATGTAGTGTTCTCAAATTTCCCTGCATTACACTCACCTCTCTGTCTAGTTCCTGAATGAGAGTTATGTTTCCTGACGTGGGGTCCACTCTCAGGTATTCTTTGGTGCCCTTCTCAAAGGTCAGGCCAAACCACACGGCTTCCCCCTCTGGGTCGGTACCGTTTAGGATATATAGCTGTGTTCCTGTGGGGTCACAGACAGAGATAGTACCTGATTATGAAAGTGTTATGATTGTTTATGAATGTGTCATGAATGGTTATGAATGTGGTATGAATGGTAATTAATGTGGTATGAATGGTTATGAATGTAGTATGAATGCTTATGAATGTGTTATGAATGTGTTATGAATGGTTATGAATGTGTTATGAATGGTTATGAATGTGTTATGAATGTGTTATGAATGGTTATGAATGTGTTATGAATGGTTATGAATGTAGTATGAATTCTTATGAATGTGTTATGAATGTGTTATGAATGTGTTATGAATGTGGTATGAATGGTTATGAATGTGTTATGAATTTACATTTACATTTACATTTAAATTTTAGTCATTTAGCAGACGCTCTTATCCAGAGCGACTTACATGAGCAATTAGGGTTAAGTGCCTTGCTTAAGGGCACATCGACAGATTTTTCACCTAGTCGGCTCGGGGATTAGAACCCGCAACCTTTCAGTTACTGGCACAACGCTCTTACCCACTAAGCTACCTGCCGCCCCATCAATGGTTATGAATGTGTTATGAATAGTTATGAATGTGTTATGAATGGTTATGAATGTGTTATGAATGGTTATGAATGCGGTATCAATGGTTATGAATGTGTTATGAATGGTTATGAATGTGTTATGGAGTCTATGTAGGTACCCTTCATATAGTAAAGAGTTTTTGGTTAAAACATTGCCTGTCAAGTACATGAAAGGCAACCCATATCTACAGTTGTACAGATGATAATCATAAGAAAGATGATCACACCATTAACCGGATCTAGACTTATAGTTAATCAGAAATATTAATTCTGAGATGTATATCATAGAAATAGAATCAAACTCATTACAGACCCATTGACTTGAAAGGGAATTCCCGTTCTAGTGATTCTATTTCTATGGTGTATTATTGTATTGTCAGATTGTTTGTCCTATTGTTGACAGCCACTCCTGCATCCCTTTTGTTTTCCTGGCTAAGCCTGTTAGCGTGGGTCCACCTCCTCTGCAGGGCGTCATGGTGATGCAGCTGAGGCTCAATGCTGCTCATGTGATCACTGATCAGTCTATCATTAGAAGACCTGGGTTCAAATACTATTTGAAGTCTTTCAGTCCCGGGTGCAAGTTATGGTTTTTGCCCTAGCACTACACAACTGATTCAAATAACCAACTCATCATCAAGCCTTGATTATTTGAATCAGCTGTGTAGGGCAAAAAAACTAAACATGCGCCCAGGGGGGGCCCCAGCATTAAGCAAGCGCAATGTATTTGAAATGTTTTAAAATAGTATTTAAAACAGGTCTGATCATTAGCTACTGTATAACGCTGCTCTTGAAACACAAGATCCATCACAACCACATTGCGATTTTCTTAGAATTTAGCCACATTAAATTAAATAATTAATTAAATAATGATCGCATTTATATAATTGTTTACAACACTCACCGACTGGTGTGTCTTCTGAGATACTGAACAGAGCCATATTCCCATTGGTGCTGCTCGGTCCGTTGTCATAGAAATAGGGAGCGTAGTCAGTTTGCCCTGGTGGAGAAGAACAAATGAATCAAAAATGTAGAGTCAAATGTGTCATTTATGACGAGCAGCACTTTCTAGCGTGTTCAAAAAACACAAACAGGTAGATGACAGTCTAAAGAGAACAAGTATGCTCTACGTAGGGGACAGTCGACACATTATAACACACGCTTTCATAATCAATTCAATACTTCTAACACCTGTGGTCCTATTTATCTGAATATTCAATTACAATTATTGTACTCACTTCCAGGACGGTACAGTTCAATGTCAAAAAGAGGTCAATAAAATGGTATATCTTCCACACCACAAACACACACACAGAGACACATGCAGGGGGATTATGAAGGAAAAATAAGGTAAAGGAACTCCAGTGAAGTCCTAATATCACAACAGGACAGAGAAAATGAAACCTACCCAAAGAGGGAGGAAGAGTAACCAGGAAGAGGAAGAGAAAAATAAACGGACTCATTTTATTTTCGGTCTTCATCCTGATGACGAAGACGAAGACGGCTTGTCAGGATCCAGGCGTCGCGCTAGGTGGCTCAGCTCAGCGTTAGGGGCTGGAGCGGCTTCTCAGAGCGGTATTAATCCTCCACTCCTGTTCTTCACAGCCACAGCAGACATCTTAGACAGACCTACTGCTGCTCTCACCCCTACATGTGAGACTGTTCCCCACAGAGAGAGGCTAGAAGGTATCTAATGTAACCGACTGTTCCCCACAGAGAGTGGCTAGAAGGTACCTAATGTAACCGACTGTTCCCCACAGAGAGAGGCTAGAAGGTACCTAATGTAACCGACTGTTCCCCACAGAGAGAGGCTAGAAGGTATCTAATGTAACCGACTGTTCCCCACAGAGAGAGGCTAGAAGGTATCTAATGTAACCGACTGTTCCCCACAGAGAGAGGCTAGAAGGTATCTAATGTAACCGACTGTTCCCCACAGAGAGAGGCTAGAAGGTACCTAATGTAACCGACTGTTCCCCACAGAGAGAGGCTAGAAGGTATCTAATGTAACCGACTGTTCCCCACAGAGAGAGGCTAGAAGGTACCTAATGTAACCGACTGTTCCCCACAGAGAGAGGCTAGAAGGTATCTAATGTAACCGACTGTTCCCCACAGAGAGAGGCTAGAAGGTACCTAATGTAACCGACTGTTCCCCACAGAGAGAGGCTAGAAGGTATCTAATGTAACCGACTGTTCCCCACAGAGAGAGGCTAGAAGGTATCTAATGTAACCGACTGTTCCCCACAGAGAGAGGCTAGAAGGTACCTAATGTAACCGACTGTTCCCCACAGAGAGAGGCTAGAAGGTATCTAATGTAACCGACTGTTCCCCACTTAGAGAGGCTAGAAGGTATCTAATGTAACCGACTGTTCCCCACAGAGAGAGGCTAGAAGGTACCTAATGTAACCGACTGTTCCCCACAGAGAGAGGCTAGAAGGTACCTAATGTAATCGACTGTTCCCCACAGAGAGAGGCTAGAAGGTACCTAATGTAACCGACTGTTCCCCACAGAGAGAGGCTAGAAGGTATCTAATGTAACCGACTGTTCCCCACAGAGAGAGGCTAGAAGGTATCTAATGTAACTGACTGTTCCCCACTTAGAGAGGCTAGAAGGTATCTAATGTAACCGACTGTTCCCCACAGAGAGAGGCTAGAAGGTATCTAATGCAACCGACTGTTCCCCACAGAGAGAGGCTAGAAGGTACCTAATGTAACCGACTGTTCCCCACAGAGAGAGGCTAGAAGGTACCTAATGTAATCGACTGTTCCCCACAGAGAGAGGCTAGAAGGTACCTAATGTAACCGACTGTTCCCCACAGAGAGAGGCTAGAAGGTATCTAATGTAACCGACTGTTCCCCACAGAGAGAGGCTAGAAGGTACCTAATGTAACCGACTGTTCCCCACAGAGAGAGGCTAGAAGGTACCTAATGTAACCGACTGTTCCCCACAGAGAGAGGCTAGAAGGTACCTAATGTAAACGACTGTTCCCCACAGAGAGAGGCTAGAAGGTATCTAATGTAACCGACTGTTCCCCACAGAGAGAGGCTAGAAGGTACCTAATGTAACCGACTGTTCCCCACAGAGAGAGGCTAGAAGGTATCTAATGTAACCGACTGTTCCCCACAGAGAGAGGCTAGAAGGTCCCTAATGTAACCGACTGTTCCCCACAGAGAGAGGCTAGAAGGTATCTAATGTAACCGACTGTTCCCCACAGAGAGAGGCTAGAAGGTATCTAATGTAACCGACTGTTCCCCAAAGAGAGAGGCTAGAAGGTACCTAATGTAACCGACTGTTCCCCACAGAGAGAGGCTAGAAGGTATCTAATGTAACCGACTGTTCCCCACAGAGAGAGGCTAGAAGGTATCTAATGTAACCGACTGTTCCCCACAGAGAGAGGCTAGAAGGTACCTAATGTAACCGACTGTTCCCCACAGAGAGAGGCTAGAAGGTACCTAATGTAACCGACTGTTCCCCACAGAGAGAGGCTAGAAGGTATCTAATGCAACCGACTGTTCCCCACAGAGAGAGGCTAGAAGGTACCTAATGTAACCGACTGTTCCCCACAGAGAGAGGCTAGAAGGTACCTAATGTAACCGACTGTTCCCCACAGAGAGAGGCTAGAAGGTACATAATGTAACCGAATGTTCACCACAGAGAGAGGCTAGAAGGTACCTAATGTAACCGACTGTTCCCCACAGAGAGAGGCTAGAAGGTATCTAATGTAATTGACTGTTCCCCACAGAGAGAGGCTAGAAGGTATCTAATGTAACCGACTGTTCCCCACAGAGAGAGGCTAGAAGGTCCCTAATGTAACCGACTGTTCCCCACAGAGAGAGGCTAGAAGGTATCTAATGTAACCGACTGTTCCCCACAGAGAGAGGCTAGAAGGTATCTAATGTAACCGACTGTTCCCCACAGAGAGAGGCTAGAAGGTACCTAATGTAACCGACTGTTCCCCACAGAGAGATGCTAGAAGGTATCTAATGTAACCGACTGTTCCCCACAGAGAGAGGCTAGAAGGTATCTAATGTAACCGACTGTTCCCCACAGAGAGAGGCTAGAAGGTACCTAATGTAACCGACTGTTCCCCACAGAGAGAGGCTAGAAGGTACCTAATGTAACCGACTGTTCCCCACAGAGAGAGGCTAGAAGGTATCTAATGCAACCGACTGTTCCCCACAGAGAGAGGCTAGAAGGTACCTAATGTAACCGACTGTTCCCCACAGAGAGAGGCTAGAAGGTACCTAATGTAACCGACTGTTCCCCACAGAGAGAGGCTAGAAGGTACATAATGTAACCGAATGTTCACCACAGAGAGAGGCTAGAAGGTACCTAATGTAACCGACTGTTCCCCACAGAGAGAGGCTAGAAGGTATCTAATGTAATTGACTGTTCCCCACAGAGAGAGGCTAGAAGGTACCTAATGTAACCGACTGTTCCCCACAGAGAGAGGCTAGAAGGTATCTAATGTAACCGACTGTTCCCCACAGAGAGAGGCTAGAAGGTATCTAATGTAACCGACTGTTCCCCACAGAGAGAGGCTAGAAGGTACCTAATGTAACCGACTGTTCCCCACAGAGAGAGGCTAGAAGGTATCTAATGTAACCGACTGTTCCCCACAGAGAGAGGCTAGAAGGTATCTAATGTAACCGACTGTTCCCCACAGAGAGAGGCTAGAAGGTATCTAATGTAACCGACTGTTCCCCACAGAGAGAGGCTAGAAGGTACCTAATGTAACCGACTGTTCCCCACAGAGAGAGGCTAGAAGGTATCTAATGTAACCGACTGTTCCCCACAGAGAGAGGCTAGAAGGTCCCTAATGTAACCGACTGTTCCCCACAGAGAGAGGCTAGAAGGTATCTAATGTAACCGACTGTTCCCCACAGAGAGAGGCTAGAAGGTATCTAATGTAACCGACTGTTCCCCACAGAGAGAGGCTAGAAGGTACCTAATGTAACCGACTGTTCCCCACAGAGAGAGGCTAGAAGGTACATAATGTAACCGAATGTTCACCACAGAGAGAGGCTAGAAGGTACCTAATGTAACCGACTGTTCCCCACAGAGAGAGGCTAGAAGGTATCTAATGTAATTGACTGTTCCCCACAGAGAGAGGCTAGAAGGTACCTAATGTAACCGACTGTTCCCCACAGAGAGAGGCTAGAAGGTATCTAATGTAACCGACTGTTCCCCACAGAGAGAGGCTAGAAGGTATCTAATGTAACCGACTGTTCCCCACAGAGAGAGGCTAGAAGGTACCTAATGTAACCGACTGTTCCCCACAGAGAGAGGCTAGAAGGTATCTAATGTAACCGACTGTTCCCCACAGAGAGAGGCTAGAAGGTATCTAATGTAACCGACTGTTCCCCACAGAGAGAGGCTAGAAGGTATCTAATGTAACCGACTGTTCCCCACAGAGAGAGGCTAGAAGGTACCTAATGTAACCGACTGTTCCCCACAGAGAGAGGCTAGAAGGTATCTAATGTAACCGACTGTTCCCCACAGAGAGAGGCTAGAAGGTCCCTAATGTAACCGACTGTTCCCCACAGAGAGAGGCTAGAAGGTATCTAATGTAACCGACTGTTCCCCACAGAGAGAGGCTAGAAGGTATCTAATGTAACCGACTGTTCCCCACAGAGAGAGGCTAGAAGGTACCTAATGTAACCGACTGTTCCCCACAGAGAGAGGCTAGAAGGTACCTAATGTAACCGACTGTTCCCCACAGAGAGAGGCTAGAAGGTATCTAATGCAACCGACTGTTCCCCACAGAGAGAGGCTAGAAGGTACCTAATGTAACCGACTGTTCCCCACAGAGAGAGGCTAGAAGGTACCTAATGTAACCGACTGTTCCCCACAGAGAGAGGCTAGAAGGTACATAATGTAACCGAATGTTCACCACAGAGAGAGGCTAGAAGGTACCTAATGTAACCGACTGTTCCCCACAGAGAGAGGCTAGAAGGTATCTAATGTAATTGACTGTTCCCCACAGAGAGAGGCTAGAAGGT